ACGGCAGAAATAGGCAGGGCGGTGGTACCTACCCGTGCGGACTCAGAGGTCCTACCACCAGTAATTACGCAAATTATAATTTTGCGGGTTTGATTTTTATTACACGATGTTATTCCTTCACCGTGGAAGTCAATCGTGAACATTTGTTGAGTACGTATTTCATTAGAAAAATTGGTACCCGCCTGCGGGATTCGAACACCGGTGCATCGCTTCAACACGAATGCACCGGACGTCTTATCCTTTAGGCCACGACGACTTCAAGCGGTAGGAAGCGGCTTGGTTCTGCCCCTGGCATTGCTGAAGTCCATGGGCGACGGTAACCACTCACCATCAGGTGGGCCGTATGCTCGTTTGCTTTCTTCTTCTTCGTCGCTTTCTTCATTGCTGAAGGTCGTGTCCCTGAAACTTGACCGTTGCCTGTCTCGTGAGCTGTTTCCATCTCGTCCGGTCCTCAGCTGCTCGAATGGCGGTTGCGACTGGCAACCCAGTTAGAGCGGTTACTTGATCACACCAACGGCTAGGTAATCGGCCGCGGGGTCTCTTTCCTTCTACTTTGCCCGTCACAATCACTTTGTCCAAGTTATCTGACTGTCGGCGGGCAATATGACCGAAGTAGCTGAGGATCCTCTGGTAACAGATTGTTGAGAGCCTGACTCGGATGCGAAGCTGATTCAGGATAGATTTATTTGTCCTCTTGGCCATCCACGGAATTCGGAGCATTCGTCTCCAGCACCACATTTCAAATGCGTTTATTTTCTTGCGCTCGGATGCCTTAATTGTCCAGGACTCTGCCCCGTAGAGAAAGATTGAGAAAACTAAGGTTCGGACGAGTCTCATTTTCGTGACGTTAGAGACTTTGCGATTTTGTCATATTCGTTTGAGCTTGGTTATCGCTGTTTTGGCCATCTGCGTCCTCCTCCTTATCTCTCCCTCACTGCCTCCACGGTCGGTCAGTAAGGACCCGAGGTATATGAACTCGCTGATGAATTCTAAATCTGATAGCTCTCCAGTTAATTGAGGTGACATGGCAATATGTCACCTCAATAATAATTATACGTGCAAAGCAATCGACAGTGCACTGACAACAAAAATAAAAAATATTAAACTAAAACTTGATTACATTTAATTACTTATGATTAATTTATATTTACATGGGAAATTATCCGCGACAGATTTTTCCTGTAAGTTGTGAGACAATTAGAAAAAACATATATTTCATCACTTCAAGTTAGTTCAGCACAATCGGACAACTCCGAATGAACATTGAGGGAGGCCGCGCTGCCATGGACATTATTGTAGTCCCAAACATTTCTGTTTAAGGGAGAGTAAGCACCTAAATACGAACGAGCGGGCTTTCTTATAAGCGGTTTATATTTCTTCGTTCTTAGTAAGTACTTAGGGGCTGATAATTTTATCTGGGTTAAGAGATTAGGTGTGTCGGTTATTCCATGGATTAATCAGATGGATACCCCCACTCTGAACAAATATTATATATTTTATTATGTATTACTTAGACATTTTTGTCCACCTTGAGATTTCATTGTTCTTGTTACATGTCTGTGCAAAATCGACTTACTTATATTAAATTGCTTAGCTATTTCAACTAAAGACTTATTCCCAAATTCATAGGCTTCAATTGCTGTTTTTAATATTAAGGGACCATATTTTCTATAAGGCTTTGCACTCTTTGATACGTACTCGCGAGGCATATCTAAAAATAGAAAACAATACGATAATATAAATATTTGCCAAACTATAAAATAACACATTGATAATTTTGAATAAAAGTTCTAGACAAAAACATCATGAATAAACCAGATTCTTACCAACAAATTTAAAAAATATTGTTATAGCTACATAGACAGCCTTACAAACCTGTGCCTATTTACATTTAGGTAGTTTCCATTTCACGTATTCTCATACCAATTGACCCCTTCTTCGTTGTTATTTGTACCTGAGACGTCCCCAATACGTCCCCAAAACAACAGATTTTTACATGTATTTTTATTTTATCAAATACATTAAAACCAATAGCAACTGAGACTTACCTTTAATATATATGATGGTTCAAACACTAAATAACGTTTATAAATTACAGTCGTCTTCTATTATTATCAAATAAACAAAAGAGAGCAAAGTTTCTAGCACTAAAATAATTACCACCACAAGAAGTTAATTTGAAATGCGATTTTTTATAAGTTAGCAGCTATTATCATGCATATTCAGAGTAGTTTTGTGAACTTTCAACATTCTACTATTACACTACAAAAAATGGAAGATTTTGCAACGATTAAAAAACTAGTATTGCGCGTCGAAAGATTTTCCTGGTTTTTTCCCTATTCACCTCTCGATCCCTAATCACCCCATTTTACGTACCTACTGTTTTTGAGAATCTAGATCATAGATTATACACCACAGAACACTATTACTTCTAGCGAATGTCTACATTTTTGTGAAAGGAAATGTGAACGTTTGCGTAAAACATTTAATTGAAATGGTCCTAAGAATTAAGAAAATCGTATTGAAACTATACCAACAAACCATAAAAGTGTATAAACATACTACACGGGTTTCTTTTTTGTAACAACCTGTACCTTACATCAAAGCAATGAATTTTCTAACAGATATTTACGTTAAGGTATGTAAATAATTGCAACAAAATTTTATTTAAATTGGCCAATTAATAAATAACAATTTTAATAATTACAGAGACTTGCAGAGAATGAAAAGAATTTACAATTCTGGGTAAATTATTTAAAGGAACTACGAGAACTTGATTTAAATGTTTTTGCGGATAAATTGACAGTACCAACTTTAGTACCAATAGGCAATCGTATATTATTTAGAGGTGAAATAATACACACAAATGAGATTACGGTTTCTTTAGGGGCCGATTATTTTGCCAAGTGTTCGTTGAAACAAGCCGAGATATTAAAACAACATAGAATAAAAGGTAATTTAAACTCAATCTTAAAATCAATTTCATAAATGTAATTTTTATATTTTGTAATGTATTTAAGAATTGTTTGTGTTCGTTTCCATTTCATCATCATCGTAATTCTTTTGACCACAATTAGAAAAATTGATTGGTTACATTACAAAAATGCTACACATTTTTATGGGCAACCTACAATTTAAAAAAAAAAAATTAGAAATGAATTTTTATTTAGAATTATAATATTTAAAAATTCCAAACCATATTTTAATTTTATGCCTGTTAATAGGCCACCCACCCGCTATTAAGTGGTCATTGAAGCCTTTTGATATATTTATGTATTTCTTAAATGTGTGAATGTGCTCTTGTCTTACCGGCAAACTAAATACTAGAGCCCTTTTTTTTTTTTTTTATTGCCCTTGTAGGCAGACGAACATACGGCCCACCTGATGGTGAGTGGTACCGTCGCCCATGGACTTCAGCAATGCCAGGGGCAGAGCCAAGCCGCTGCCTACCGCTTCATACTCTCCACAAGCCTCGTTTGAAGAAGGACATGTCATAGCGCTCGGGAAACACCGTGGAGGGGAGCTCATTCCATAGCCGGATGGTACGTGGCAAAAACACCTCTGGAAACGCACTGTGGATGACCGCAGTGGCTCCAGGTAGTATGGATGAACTCTACTCCGGTGGCGGGCGGTGCGATGGTAAAAACGAGATGCCAGTATCATCTCGAACAATTCCTCAGAGCACTCCCCATGGAACATACGGTACAAAATACAGAGGGAACCGAAGTCCCTCCGCAGACCCATATTGTCTATGTAGCCATGATACATTGAGTCATGAATTAGATTTCTTAATTGTATTGAATAATAACTATCTTATCATGATTTTGACACAGTAATATGTTAGAAATTGTTTTCAATAAATAAAGGTTTGATGAAATGGTCAGTCTCAAAAATTCAAGCCAATTTTTTTTATTTAATGAATGGATTGCTGTAGCCATAGACAAATAACAAGAGGGTGGATCAATTTCTTTTGCTCCTGACATCCTACTCTCACTCGTGTACCTGTGAATATAGTTCATGCAATAGTGCTACATTATCAGGAATTTAATAAAAAGGCAATTCATAGTAAATCTCTTAAAACTAAGCACTAAATTTGTATGTGGGTACTAAAGCCAGTTTAAGATTGAAATTGAATGATAGGATAGTGTTTCCTATTCAACTGTAACATCAAACTTAAGCTAAGACTGAGCCATTCATATTGTGGTAGAATTTTCATAACCTGCACTATATCCACAAAAAAAAATCATTTCAGTAGAAAGTGCCTACTAATCAGGCTAAGGCAAATTATTGAACCTGAAATGAATATGATTTTTTTAATTTTTTTATTGGTGGGACACAGGTGGACGGTGTCACGGTACACCTGCTGTTTAGTGGTTACCGAAGTCCATAGACATCGTAAATGCCACGCACCTAAATTATCTCTCACATAAATTATATATAAATGAATTAGTGTCAAATGTATGCATTGATTGTAAATCTTTGTTTTATGTTAAATTTCAAGATGCTGAAACCAAAGTAGATATGTACGAAAAAGAATATGATTATCTGAAAAGTCAAATAGCATTTAGCAATGAAAACATTTATGGAACTAAAGCCGAAGAAATAGTAGAAATATATTCTGAAGAAGAAGACAAAGCCTGGAGAATAAAACACAGACAAAATGTAAGGAAATATAAAAAAGACCAGCAGATTCAAGAAAAAATAAATAATCTAATATCTGATGAAGAGCTTTGGAACAGGTTAGATGAACTTGAACTTCAAGAAGAATTAGAGAATGAGTTAGTGGAGATGAATAATAACTCGAAATTCAAGTTTACTGAAAATCCCTTTGTTGAACAGGAAGAAGCTCTATTAAAAATGAATGAAGTTGAAAGTGTCAACAATAATAAACTTATAACTGAAGAAATAAAATCAACAGAAACTAATCTAGTGACTAAACAAATTCAGGAGAACAATAATTTAATTTCAAAAGTCAATATTCCAGGACATAATTCCAAAATGGAGCTATTGCAGCAAGTTATAGAGAAACAGACTGAATTAGAACGTAAATTGATCCAATTGCAAAATAGGGAAATTATAACCGAAGGTAAGACAGAACAGGAATTAATATCGAAATTGGATGAGATGGAACAACTGGAAGAGCTAGAAGATGAAATGGACAGGTAAACATAAACCAGTAAAGTAGGTAGTAGTAAGAGTAGTTATTAAATTGACTACTGGAAAAACTTCTGTAAATTTACACTATCAAGTGTACACCCAGTAACTAATCACTATGTGAGAATTAAACTCCTGATACCAATATATAAAAATTACATTTATAAATAATGTTCATGGAGGAATAATAATGCATATTAATTTATTTTAATTGAATTGAAACAATATGGCAGTATTTTACCATATTATTATGATTGGTCACTGCCATAAATAAATAATTAAGGGTTCTCCCAAATTTTTATTATTATTGATGAAACATGTAAAGATAATTTAAATTTTTTAACATGTTAAAAAATCATCCATTATAATAAAAATTTGGGTTGTACTCTATTTTATTATATTTACCTATACCTTAAATCTGAATTTGTTCCACTATCTACACCTGTTCACCTTCACAAATACTGAATTTTTATAACTTATTACGTGTTTAAATCTGAAGAAACACAAAGCACAAAATTCAAATAAAATAAAAAATTAATAAATTCACATGTCTTCATTCATAATATATTTTCAGATTAGATCATATATTACTAAATGAAAATTTTGATTTGGAAGAACAAGATCAAGAATTAGAGGTAGAAATAGATGATGATAAATGCCAAGATACAAATGAGACAAAACTAAAAAAGAGTGTTTCATTTGCTGATAACAGTGATACGGAAACTTTAGAGATTCTTTTCAAACACAGTGATGTAGAGCCAAGTCAAGAGATGTATTGCCCGGAGAAAGGTATTCGAAAACCAAGTGATGTGTATGAAATGTTCCCAAATTTAATAATTGGAGCTACTTCTATACTGAAGAAATCTAAATACATTAATGAAGATTTTGTCGAAGTTGAAAATTCATTTAAAGCAAATAAAAAAGTACTTTTTCCAACATTACATGAGGAAGATTTAATTAAAACTGTCGGCGTCAAAGATATTCAAGAAAAAGCCAATAATACTCAAGACAAAAAGAAATGTAATTCCACAAGGCCTATGAGCTTGTTCAAGAAAAAAAGGATGCAAAATAAAAAGTAGTGTATATTTATAATAAAGTATATAGTGATTCCTAAAATGAGTGTCTTTGTTTTCTGTATAATGATAGAAAAAAAATTTTTAAGTTTTATTTGTGATGGTATCCTGTTGGTAAATTCCAGTGTGCTTAGCGCGAGTTTTTTAACGTTCTCGATAGCGTAAAAGTTCGCTCATATTTGTATGGAATGGGATCGTTTGCCTTCGTTTGCCGCTAGGGGCGCTGTTCCAACTGCATACAAAGTTGGATTAACTTTTACGCTATCGAGAACGTTAAAAAACTCGCACTAAGCACACAGATCAAAACAGTGCACCTATATGACGCAAGGAACGTCCATGTAACCTTCTTAGTATGATTTTAGACGTCTACATTTCGTGAACTGTTCAGTACCAAAATAATTTGTAAAAGTTGGGTTCTAAAACGTTAAAATTATTTAACAGAACAAAGGAGTTGTGTAAGTTTTTTTAGTGGTTCTAGCCATACTTCACGTTCAATTGATTCACAAAGTACAGATCCGGACCCGCGGATCTTAGGCGATAGGTATCAAATACACTTTAAATGTAAAATAGACATGTGTAAGTAATGCGAGTGATATTACTCCGGTAATATTACTCTACGATGTAAAGCAACATCACGCATTACGCGAAGGAAACAAACATCACACTATCACCCACAGAACACTATTACTTCTAGCGAAGCTATCACCCAGCATGTTTCTTTCTTTGTCGTGTAATGTTGCTTGATACACGAACGGAACCGAGCGAGCGAGACAGACCGATCTACGCAAAATAAATGAGCAAGCGAAACGGAATTATTCCTAGTGATTTTGAATCGTATGCCCTGGCCGCTAGGTACATTTTTATACCTATGGCACGTCTGAATTTTAATATAGGTATTTGTGTTTATATTTTTCATGGGCCAGCCGGTAGCTCCCCGCAAGTAGTTACTTAATTTTTTATTCGCAACTTTTGTAAAATCGCTAGTCGCTCGTAATTGTTTAGTAATATTTCATATTAATTTTTGTGTTTGAATTACTTAAGCACTTGTTTGAAGATAGTTTTATTATTTGCATTATCGTCGAGCTCAATTTGCAATCTAAGTCGCCATATGAAGTCTGTTCATCCCGCAATAAATTATATTAAGTAAAAAATAAAATTATTATATTATTAAATAAGTCAATCTCTGTCAAGTAATATAACAGTGTATTACAATACAAAGTATGAACACATCACTTAAGTAATGATTCGGGTGTATAGATACAATGTATTCGTCACAGTATATATTGAACGCACCGAGTAATGTTAAGAGTGATGTGTAATGTTTTCGAGTAATATCACCTGTCTGCAAAAGTGATGTCATATCACATTACATTGAGGAGTGATGTTTTGCGCAAGTCTAATGTAAAACTTGAAATTCCCAGGTAAGATCACCGCCTTTACGTCAGCCGTTTACTTTGACGGCAGATTTAGAAGAAGTGGTGGCCCCGGTTACCCTATTTCTCCTGAATTCTGTCTCCGGCAGGCCTAAAACACAACTTCCGGCTTAAAAAAACAAGGTAGTGTTTTGAAGTATTCTGTGATAAATTGTAATTATAATAATGGTAATCCCATCCCAAATTTAAAACTTAATTTAAAAGTTGTATTTGGATTGATACATAGTTTTGTATTCCACATAATACAAACTAAGTCCATAGACTAATGCCCGTATCTTTAGACGTTTCGTAAAATAGTCCTCCACTCTTAACTCATCCGATGATGCTCGAGAATTCCCTCCAAGCTTACTCGAGTTTGGTATTTTTAGTCGACCATTACAATATTCCTCAACTGTCCTCGAGTGAGGTATAATGATGAAAATTTGATCAAGCTAGCATCAAACCCATAGAGTTCTGTAGTCTATGGTCATTGTTTAATGTCAAAGTCAAGCTGCCGCTGTCTGTTTGACACTAGATGACATAGACCTATATAGTAGGGACACGACATATTGTTCTATACGTACAATTGCTTATATAAATAGCACCCATTTTGAAGGCACATACATAAACATATATCTATCTCGTTCTTACTCAGCACTTTAACTCGCAGGAAAACAATATAACAGTATTTCAGTGCGTACATAAAATGAAACATGAATATACGTAAATATCTCCGTCTCNCATATATTTCCATTTGCGGTCCACATACTATTTGGACATTGATAGAAAACCAGCCTTGAGGAACGTTCAAGGTACGTCGCGACGTACCTTGACTTGACAGTTCGCTTACTTCACTCCGGTTAGGAAAATTTTCCAAGGACGTTTGAGTGGAGTTTATTTTTACGACTAATCATACCAAAACGCGCGTTGGAGGTTGAGTCGAGTCCAGTTAAGCTCGTGTAAACGACTAAAGATACGGGTGTTAGTCTGATATCTATGACATCACATAGATAATACACGACTCAAAAGACTAGAATGCAGGCCATTAGAATAATTTAAAAAGAAATAAAAAGAAGTTAGGTTATTTAGGTTATGTTATTGTTATTTTAAATATTTATTTAAATAAGTGCGTTTATAATGTTTACCCGTAACTGGAAGCATCTTTGTCGCCGCTATTCTCAGGCAGTCACATTCAGAACAAGTGAAATCTATCCTGTAAGTAAATTTGTAAAACGAACAGATGAAAGATCCTTACTGATATTTTCTATTGATTGAGTAACAAATACCCAAATTTTTATTTTTTTTATTTTCAAAATTTGTATTATTAACTATGTCAAAATCTGTTTTTTGCGCTATAAAAATATTTTCAATGTATAAACTGCGTATACTTGTTTCTGGAATGAAAAGTGATGTTTATTTTTATCACCTAGCCTTTCACATGAATAAGCTCATAGGCCACCTGATTTAAAGTGCTTACCGAATTCATAGACATCACATCGTGAAACCCTTTTCTTGCTTTGCTCACTTTGTTTATCTAGTAGTTCACTAACTACTGACTAACTACCACAGGGGCCAATGTTAGATTCCCAGTTAGAGTATTTTTAAAAACAAACATGCCTCTCATAATTGCAGGCTCAACACAATGAAAATCAAATAGGCTTCTTCTATACTATAAAGCCAGACCTGTGCAAGCAGTTGTTCAATCATGGTGGCTTACCAAAGAGTTTCATGAAGCAGACAAAGACATTCACTGAAACAGCCATAATGGTGCGGCAGCCTGCTTTGGATGTAATGGATTGCATCAGAGCCTCAGATATGAACAAGCCAGTTATAAGATATGTACTCTGTATCCTTTTAACACATTTGTATCTATTATAATAGGTAAAGGTTACATGCGATAAAATTAAATTTTTAACACATCCACTGCACCAAGCTATGCCTATTATAAGTGAGGTAAATTCCGTAATGGGATATTGAACAGTACAGTACAGCCACATTACTTGTTATATTAAGGAAACTATTCCTATACAGAACGGGAGACAATAATATGTACATGCTTCACAGTTAGAAATATGTTTGTGTGACAGTTAAGCTAAAAAGAATATCTTAAACATTGTTTAGTAGTTGTAGAGTGTCTTCTAAGGCTGCATGGGTAGATACAACCACCCCCGCCTATTTCTGCCATAAAGCAATAATGCATTTTGGTACTAAGAGTGGGTCAACCATTGGACTCTAAACTGAGACTTAGAACTTATTTCTCAAGGTGGGTGATGACATGTTATTGATGTCTTTTGGCTTCAGTAACACCAGATAGGCCATGAGCTCATCCATTTGTGAAGATGTTTTGATTGAATAAGGTTAGACAGTAGAAAACATCACAATGTGAGATTTGCCATTTATCTTGATACATGAGGCCCAAGTGTCAATTGTATTTTTTTTTATTGCTTAGATGGGTGGACCCGCTCACAGCCCAGTAAATGCGCCTATAACTATACTGAGACCTTAGAACTTATCTCAAGGTGGGTGGTGCATTTACGTAGTAGATGTCTAGAGGTCTATGGGCTTCAGTAACCACTTAACACCAGGTGGGCTGTGAGCTCGTCCACCCACCTAAGCAAAAAAAAAAAAATAGCTTGAGATATAAGTTCTAAGGTCTCTTAGTATAGTTACAATGGCTGCACCACTTTTCAAACCGAAACGCATTACTGCTTCACGGCAGAAATAGGCAGGGCAGTGGTACTACCTGTGCGGACTTACAAGAAGTCCTACCACCAGTAAAAGTAAAAGTAAAACCTGGTAAAACCCACTAAGTAATACTTTTCTGAATCTTAATCTGACTTATAGATAAGTAGGTATACTCTACATTTATTGTGTGTGTGTATAATTTTTGTTTAATGTCAATTAATAAAGATATTCCTTAGCATTAAATCAGATGGTGAAAAAGGTTCAGGTAAATCATTGACATTGGCCCACCTCCTACACTATGCACTTGAAGAAGGCTACCTTATTCTTCATGTTCCATGGGGTAAGTCTATAATTTACTTGCAACTAAACAGTAAGATTGTTGCTTATTACTGAACTAGCTAGGTGCTCATAATTTTAATCATTTGGAATACACTTTGTATCTTTTGTATGAAAGATCCATGCTTAATAATGGGATGAAAGTTTTCTTTCTCAAGGTCAAATTATTTCTGTACAGTGACTGTCACTTTTGCATTAATAACGTTTTTATGCTATTGTGAAAGGCTTAACGACGGAGAGAAGATCTTCCACCGAGTGGGTGGCTCGGTAGACCGAGATGGTCCAAATGTTGTTGTTTGGAACTTGTATATATGCAAGCTTATCTTGAAAATGTCATAAGCGAGATTCAGGCATTTGTCAAATATCTTGTGTTGTACGATGGCTACCTGCCACATTATGTAACTCCTAACACTGTAAAATTAATTCCAGTTATTTATCAACTGTATGATAAACTTACAATCGATCATACAATGACCATTAACCACATTTCGAAGTCGTCGTGGCCTAACAGATAAGACGTCCGGTGCATTTGTGTGAGCGATGCACCGGTGTTCGAATCTCAGGCGGGTGCCAATTTTTCTAATGAAATACGTACTCAACAAATGTTCACGATTGATTTCCACGGTGAAGGAATAACATCGTGTAATAAAAATGAAACCCGCAAAATTATAATTTGCGTAATTACTGGTGGTAGGACCTCTTGTGAGTCCGCGCGGGTCGGTACCACCACCCTGCCTATTTCTGCCGTGAAGCAGTAATGCGTTTCGGTTTGAAGGGTGGGGCAGCCGTTGTAACCATACTTGAGACCTTAGAACTTGTATCTCAAGGGGGGTGGCGCATTTACGTTGTGGATGTCTATGGGCTCCAGTAACCACTTAACAGCAGGTGGGCTGTGAGCTCGTCCACCCAAACATACATATCATTGTTGAGTAGTTAAAACATGAAAATGTAAAAAATTCTCACTCACTCCGCATTTATAGTATTAATAAGGATAAGTTAGTAGTTAGACGCTCTAGTAATTGGCTTAATATTGTTCTCATCCATATTCTAGTGTCAGAATGGTTACGAAGAACTCCTCGTCATAAAGAAATGACCAATTCTCAGACAAAAGAAGGCTTTGTCGATCTTCCCCTGGACGCCGCCGAGTGGCTGTTGCATTTCAAGACTCAGAATCAGGCATTGCTGAAAAACTGTGAGGTGAGTATTACTTTACCATCTTATCTATTTAAGCTACATAGTGGCTGTAACTTTTGATCCGAGTGTTATTATTCCAGCGGTTTTTTTTATTGCCTTTGTAGGCTAACAAATGGTACATGGCCTTCTTGATGGTGAGTCATTACTGTCGGTCATGGATGTCAGCAATGCCAGGGGCCAAAAAGTTGCCTATTGCAAGAATCGATGCTTCCACCCAAGGAGTAAATATAAGTATATTTTCGTACAGTTTTAAACCGGATGGGGCTATGTACGGCAATACCACAACAAGCAATGCATGATAATAATAATATATAAACATAATACCACAAATTTTGTCAAATTTTGTTTTCTAACAGTAAATGCTACGATTTACAGTTTAAAATCTCTAAAGATTATGAATGGAGCAAGCGAGAGAAGACCGAAGCTGGTTCCCCCATAGCGGCACTCGTAGAGCACGGCATAAACAGAGTCAAATACGCTTGTGACGTCATCGATGCACTCCTCCTAGAGATCAAAATACTTTCTAACAGTAAACAGTAAGGCATTTATTCATTTAATTTTTCACAACTTGGAATAAGTTGGATAGTCCTAAATTTAGCACCGCCTCTCGTACTTACGAAAGCCGATGTCATTCCCGATGTGTTAGCAAGTCTCCGAGGCTAAGCTCTGTGAACCAGCTCGCCCACCTGTCAAGGTACAGCCAAAATAGCACTTCAAGGCTACTGGTCGTTAAGTGGGGAATACTTAGATTAGAATGTAATTTTGTAAAGATTACGATTTTTTCATCGCCCATCACTAGTATACCTTTTTTTGTTTAAGTTGAAACTTTTATCAATACCTTTTTTTAAAGATTTTTCTGTTTGTATATTTATTCGAATTAAATTAAATAATATATGAGTCGTCTATTATCAAAGGTGGCAATCTGTGCATTTGGACAAAATTTTTTTATTGATATTTCAATACAGATTGATTTGAATATAATCGTCTCCTTCAAAGAATACGGTTCAAAACCTGCATTAAATAAAGGTTAATACTTAACCTGTTATTTATCTAACATGTCGTTCAGAAGAGTTTTGTGACTGCTAATGGAATACAAAGTCAATAATTCGTTTTTCTGATTTACCAATAATTGTCCAAAAGTCACATTGCCGGCTTTGATAATAGATGACTCATATATCATAAAAAAAATACCTTCGTAGATGCAAAACATTCGTCGCTATTGACGGCTTCAACAGTTTCTACTACCCAATGACGCGACTGAACACGCCCACCAAGAAGAAAATTAAGCCCGAAGAGGTGACACTGACCAATTCGTTTCTGGAGCTCACTAAGAATGATTGGGTGAGTGAACAGAACATTGGTTTAATTGGTTTGTATATTTAACTCAATTTGTTTGCATCTTTCATTCCCGAACGTGCGGACCGAATGTTAAACAGTCGACGTTTACTGGTGGTAGGACCTCTTGTGAGTCCGCTCGGGTGGGTACCACCGCCCTGCCTATTTATGCCGTGAAGCAGTAGTGCGTTTCGGTTTGAAGGGTGGGGCAGCCGTTGTAACTATACTTGAGACCTTAGAACTTATATCTCAAGGTGGGAGGCGCATTACGTTGTGAATGTCTATGAGCTCCAGTAATCACTTAATACCAAATGGGCTGTGAGCATTTCCACCCATCTAAGCAAAAATAAATAAAAAAAACGTCGCCCAAAACACGTAATTTCGGATTCTCCCAATCCACTAAAGCTCCTTTTAGGTACCTCAAGCACCGATCATCTTTCTTGTCGAACCCGTCGCTTACGACGAAGGGCTCGACGAGTAAATTAACCCACAGACAGCCCACTGAGTTTCTCGCCGGATCTTCTCAGTGGGCGGCGTTACCGATCCCGTGGTAGATTCCCCGAAGCACCGCTCTTGGTTAGTGTTAGCAACGTACTCAGGTTTTGAGCTCTGTGAGCTTACCTACTTATTAGGGTTACGCTGAAATGGCCTCTCAAGGCCATTAGCTTAGATAGGGGAAAAAATTGCATCTTTGGTTTATTCATGAATTACTTTGATCAGTGAATTACCTTGTCCCAGAGTTCACGTCTTGTATATCTCATATTGTATTATGCTAGCCACCATAGCGCGCAGAAGAAGATTCTGCCTTGAGGACATTGAATGTTCAATTTTCGTAATAAAATTCTGCATTGACAACAATTTGTCTCTATATAGTAGGTACTACACAACATACATTAAATTGAATATCTCTTTTCAGAACAATGGAGTTGTAGTATTAACAATAGATCAACTGGCTGTGCCAGACGAAAACCAGGAGAGTTTCCTACCCAGATACTTGTTATACAAAAAGGTACCTGCTATTAGTTAGTGTAACAGAAGTGTGCACATAATGTTGACTGATGGTAGAGCATATTTGAGGCTGCTATTGGCATACACAACCGTTTGGGCTATTTTTGTTTTTTTATTACCCTTGTAGAAAACGAGCATGGTGGGGGTCCACCTGGAGGTGAGTGGTTATAGTCGCTAGTGGATTTCAACAATGCTTCAAAGAAGTTGTTTGTTCCAGTTTGAACCCCATTTTAAATTCATAAATATTATAATATTGCATATATAATAATTATAATGAAGAGATAATTTAAATCTACTAACAAGATTGCGAATAATTGCAAAGTAATCATTTAAGCTTTTGCAAGCCGGTTTCCGAAAAGGCTACAGTACCATAGACCACATACATACGCTGCGGCAGATTGTACAGAAGACCGAAGAGTACAATCGGCCATTATGCTTAGCGTTTGTGGACTATGAGAAAGCCTTTGATTCCGTCGAAACATGGGCGGTCCTTAGATCTCTCCAGCGGTGCCGTATTGACCACCGGTACATCGAAGTATTGAAGTGTTTGTATAATAACGCCACCATGTCAGTCCGAGTACAGGAGCATTGCACGAAGGAAATCCCTGTAAAGAGAGGAGTGAGACAGGGAGATGTGATATCTCCGAAACTGTTTATCACTGCTCTGGAGGATTCCTTCAAGCTTCTGGAATGGCAAGGACTTGGCATCAATATTAACGGCGAATACATCACTCATCTTCGGTTTGCCGATGACATCGTGGTCATGGCAGAGTCGCTGGAAGATTTAGGGCGTATGCTCGGTGACCTCAGTAGGGTTTCTCAACAAGTGGGTCTTAAAATGAACATGGACAAAACAAAAATCATGTACAATGTCCATGTTGCACCCACCATAGTTACTGTTGGGAGCTCTACTCTTGAAGTTGTTGACGAATATATATACCTAGGACAGGCAGTCCGATTAGGTAGGTCCAACTTTGAGAGAGAGGTCAGTAGACGGATCCAACTCGGCTGGGCAGCGTTCGGTAAACTGCACAACGTCTTCTCGTCCAAAATACCTCAGTGCCTTAAGACAAAGGTGTACAACCAATGTGTGTTACCAGTGATGACTTACGGCTCGGAGACGTGGTGCTTCACTAGGGATCTTTTTAGAAGGCTCAAAGTCGCGCAGCGAGCTATGGAGAGGGCTATGCTCGGCATTTCTCTACGTGATCGAATCCGAAATGAGGAGATCCGTAGAAGAACGAAGGTTGCTGACATAGCCCGTAGAATTAGTGAACTGAAGTGGCAATGGGCCGGCCACATAGCACGAAGAGAGGACGGTCGATGGGGCAGAAAGATCCTGGAGTGGCGACCACGTACTGGCAAGCGCAGTGTGGGACGGCCACCTACTAGATGGACCGACGACCTAGTAAAAAGTGCTGGGTCTCGTTGGATGCAGGTGGCAATGGACCGGTCGCACTGGAAATCTATTGGAGAGGCCTATGTTCAGCAGTGGACGGCGATAGGCTGAAATGATGATGATGATGATGAATCATTTAAAATTATGTGTTGTAATTGGGATATAATATTTACTCATAAAGTTAATTTTGATATCGGGTTTGTATGGTACATGTGAATATTGCCATCATCTATATATATAAAAATGAATTGCTGTTCATTAGTCTCGCTAAAAATCGAGAACGGCTGGACCGATTTGGCTAATTTTGGTCTTGAATTATTTGTGGAAGTTCAGAGAAGGTTTAAAAGGTCGATAAATATGAAAATGATCGGAATTAAATAAAAATAACAATTTTGTTTTACCTTTGATGTGTCCCCCGTCGGACGGATTCCTTTTGTTTGTTTTAAGTTTATTTTATACAAAAGTTTAGCTCTTTTATTTATAGATTGAGGCACAACGAAGTCTGCCGGGTCAGCTAGTTATTGAATATATTGCATTCTCGGTCTATAATCTGAACGAATTATTATTTTGTATCAATTGTATTTATCTTTAGATTTTTATGGATCACCGATTATGGCAACATAATATACAAAGGCCTCCCACATGATGGACCGACGAGATATCGCACATACGGTGCTATAAAGTCACTTATGCAATTTTTGTTAACACTGAACTGAGTATGAGAAAATACATTTTTAATAGGTATTAGTGAGACGAGAGAGATGTTTGCTTTTACTGATGAAGTTTAAAGTTGTAGTTTAAATATTATTTTATTTCTATAGTCTAGCGGAACTATATAATAATATGTTGAATTTTCCAATATTTCTCATGAAAAATTACATAATATGCATAAGTGACGTTATCACACCCTATGTGCTGTATTGAGGTTTTGCGGGGATCCGCTGGATGCAAGCAGAGGAAGATCGATCTTAGTCGCGAGGCTTGGGGGAGGCTTATGTCTAGCAGTGGGTATCTGTGAGCTGATAGAAAAAAATATAGGTACTTATACATATTATAAGTAACATGTTTTGAATCAAATTTATTGTTTCAGGGCTTTGAACATCTAGACCCCTTTGTGCCTATCGAAGTAGGAAGATACACAGATAAAGAATTCTTATCTTGTGCGAATTACTACAGAGATCGTTTATGGCTCAGAGGACCTTCTGATCTGGAAACCGAATTAAAATTCACAAGTGCTAGTAATCCTTATAACTTTATGTTACAATGTGCTCCTTTGTAATTTAATGTAGATTAAATAAATTGTAGCCATAATAATACTTATAGGTCTTTTATTTATTTAGTAAATCATCTTTTTCCTTGTTCCTTTTCATAAGAACTAGTAATTACTAGTAAGTTACTAGTAAGTACTCTATTATTTAAAATCTACCACAATCAATGACACTAAGTTGTAGTAAAAAGAAATATTACTGAAATAAAATGAAAATACTACTAAAGCTAGTAAATACAAAAAATCAGTTGTTATTTTTTTCAATTATACTTAGTAAACTAATTTAAAGAGCAACACCAAAATATAAAATTTCCCTAACCAGGTAGTGAAAATCTCAAATTTAATCAATTATTTATTGACGTTTGCATAATTTCTACAGATTTATTCTTAAATTAAAAATTTAAACATCGTATCCAACAAGGTGACGTTTGCCAATGCATTCACCAATGTAGAACCAGAAGATGACTTCAGCTCCAACCAGAACATTTAGTGTGGCCTCTTTGACTGTTTGCCTTTTCCATGCTCCTGTCTTAGCACTTGTGATCAGATTACCGATGCCTTGTCTAATCTGAGGCAGCTCACTTAGCTTGGGTGGAGCAAGTTCAACGCGAGCATATTTCATAAAAATATTTAATTTTGGCCTCGCCTGAGTGATGGCAGCTAAAATGAAATTTTATCAGTTATTGAAACTCAAAGTTTTCAGGTTATTCAGGTCTCGATCAAAACAGATTTGGTCGTTCGCTTGCAAAGGGTTTTTTACAAAAAATGTAATGTTTATAGATGTTTTTATTTCATTAAAAAAGGCATATTAAAAGTGCATAAATCTTATTTTTTATCTAATCCGATTTAATGTTTCGTTTAATTTGCACGGTTTGGTGTTGAACAAATTACATAATCAAAATAACCACTAAAATGTATATTGTACAGCAAAATCAAGCTCAATATTAAAACTTACTATTAATAAGAGTCGGCACCTTAGCGACTGCACTGGCCATTTTAATTAATTAATTAAAACAAATGAAGGACGCAAGGCAAGTCACAAGATAATTTTCAATTTTAGAATTTCTGTGCCTGTCAAAACTACAAGTGAATTCAATTGTCCAATGTCAATGTCAAATTTTTAGTGATACCTACTTTTTATTAATTTAGTCGATTTTTGCTCAAATCGCCTTTTACATGGCAGGTTTCCAAAGACAATTGCAACGTTGATCTTTTATGTCAAACGTGTTTGACTTTGAGTATTTCTGTGGCCGGCAATTAGTTTTTATCAATAAATGAAAAATTAAAAAAAATACTTACAAATTTTTAACACTCGTTACTAGTAATAAAAACAATTAAAACTTATATGAAAATGTACTTTCGAGGTAAGTAAGATGACAAACTTATAACGTATATCTCGGCGTGGCGTAAACCTGTATTTTAGCAATGTTCTGAATGAATAAACCGATAGTAACCAGAAATTTTTTATTATAACATTTTTTATGCATGCCTGAAATGATTGTAGTTGATTCACAAGTTAGTCCAGACAGTCTAATAACCAAACAAAAATAATATGGGACACGTCAGTTTTACCAAATAGACCGGCGCTTGTCGATCCTTCGGTTTGGTTATGCGTTATGTACTTTCTCCGCACCATTAAAAATATTGACTAAGGTTCCAATATACACGTTACATTTAAGCAAATGATGAGAAGATTTCTACATCTAACTCGTGATACTTACTGTAACTCTACTAGAAAATCTATAAAAAATGTAATATATTTTCAGTACAATTGCTCATCTTAGTGAGTATAGCAGTAAGTAATGCCAACATTCTCCAAGGCACTGTGGATATCAATCGCCTTCAAACCATACTTAAAGACAACTTAAAGAGCAAAGATGTGGGCACCCTGTATTATGCTGTTCGAGGATTGAAACAGTTGAAAGCTGATGTCCCAAACATTTGTGAGGTATAGTATTATTTCGATTTTCTTGACTCGTAGTAATAATTAAAATTACTTCTACTAATCAATCTTCTATATTAAAATTACTTCTATTAAACTAGCTTTGTGCCCAGTGCATGTCTTTGTTCTGTGTGAAATATTTTTATATAAAAATAGGCAGTAGCAAACATTATATTCAAATGTCAACAAATAATGCCTTAGTGGTCTAGGACCATGACAACTGGAAGGTTTTAGGAATGTCTAAATAACATAATGACAATAAAAACTTCTTCTATATTGTTCCCTCACTACTGAGGATCGCGACCACATGTGATGTTCTTCCACTGTGCTCGATCATGGGTGGCATGGCCTGCATGGTACAGAATACCGCTAAGTTTGCCTCTTGCTAGATCTGACCATCTGGCTAATGTTCTGCCCACGGTGCACTTGCCCTCTATGCGACCCGTTATACTGACAATAAAAAACATGACATTAAATGGTAAAAGTAGTTCTTATTCATTAGGTACAGATAAACTGCTCTTATATGATGATATGTTTCAATAATCTATCAGTTCCATCTTCAAATAGGACAGGTGGGGCCTGCAAAGTCTGCAAGTTGCCTAATTGCTACTTAAAAGATTCTATAAGCTTTTTCAGAGGCTTATTCTAAATTGAAACAATTTTGTGAATTTTATTCAAGCATTGTATTGTACTATAAATCTGAGAAATAAATAAGTATTAATATACAGCTGCTATTAGATATACATTGTATTGATTATGGTCTCCAGTCAACATTTAAAATCAGGGAGGATGTGAACTAGCCTTTCTTTTTATACAAATAAAATAAGTTGGATAAAAGGTGAGTAAACACATAGTTTGTTAACAGGACCTCAAAACGATAAAGTATGATGTCAAGAACTTAGAGCAAGTATTTTACCTCACAAACTTGGCCCTTCTTACAAACTGTCAGAATTCTCTCAAGCCTGAAGTATTGGCGACTCCAACCCAAGCACTAGACAAAAAGGATGTCACCATACAGGAATTGTACTTAGCTGTGTATACACTAAAAGCTCTCGGTAAAGGAACTATTTATGATAAAGAAGATGCTTTAAAAAATCTTATTCAGCTTCTGAAAAAGGATGACACACCTGCCAAGTAAGTGTTGGGGTTAAAAACACTAATACCTGCCAGTAAACCTTCCTGACTAGTAAAAGTCAAGTATTAACAATGTCTAATGTAAATGGTTTTTTAAATTACCTATATAGTATACAGATGAAAAAAAAATATTGAAAATGTTTATGAAGACATTTGTTGCACAGATACAGACAATGAATGTATTTGAAACATTTCATTCAGCCTACATTGGATATATTGGAATAAGGTTCATGAGCAAATCAATGATTTTAAATTAACTATTGAAAATTGTAATTAATGCTAATTTAGTATTTATATTTATTGTATAGGTTAGTATTGATATTTATGGAAACATTGTGTGAGATGAAATTTCTCTAATTAATTAATCTTAAAATAGTCTAAAAGTTGAGAAAAACCATGAACAACATATGAATTTACAAAAGAAACAAAAAGTATTTTAGTCAAACACTGACCTGACGCACGCTTCTAATATTGATAATGAAATTAAACCTAAAAATGTAACAGCAATTATATTTATAGTAGTTAGTCTTCACCCAATGATTGAAATTTAGTGAAACACCTTAAAATTAAGATTTATATAGTGGATTAAATTTTTCTACTATTTAAAAAAAAAACTTTCCATAAAATTGTATTAATAAGTCTAGTCTATCAAAGAAAAAAAAGATAATTAGTTGACTAATTGGGAAAAATGACTATTGTGGAAATGAAAATAAAAAAAAAAACTTGATAACCGTTATTTACTACTTTGTCTTTGCTTATTTATAGTGAGTTAATAGAGAAATATATACTCTCCCATATAAGTTAAAAAAAATTGTAACGATCTTTAATGCTATAATACCTATTTTACTTTTGACCAAATATGAATTTATTAAAAAGAATGATAATAATATGTCTATGCTATTAAAATTCAGGAGAGTTATTTATTATCTGTATTATTTCTAGTTACGGTTATGTATTTGCATTATGTGAGCACATGGGCTGTGGTCTATGGACAACTTCGCATGCTGAAGGAGTTATACTTGCTGCTGATGAGACAGACTCTCGTGCCTTACATTTTGAAGGAGGCCTACCTGTCACATCACAACTTTTGACTACAATAACCAGGTAAGTCACGTTCAAGTATTCAGTTAATCATGGAAACTCATTCTAAGAACTTTTGCACTGAGAGATAAGTTCTGAAGTATGTTTGTAGTGTATTTCTTGCATGTCACACTTTCAATCAGCTCTGCTACAAACATTTTGGAATTCATTAATTTTGAAACGAAATTAATAGCCCAAGAGCCCGCGACAGCCAGACCTTCGTTATTTTATAAAAGCTGAAAGTTTCTCTGTGTATGTCTCCAACACAGGTAAGAACGACTCGCGATTATAGAGTTTCTATTGTGGTTACTTGGGCAGGTAACAGGCAGTAAAGGTATATAAAATAGTACCTTAAATTCGTTAAAGTATAAAGGTTTTTTTTTTAATATTTACTCCAGAATATCTTTAGAAATCATGATATCCGTTGCCGGACACTTTTTCCAGTTGTTACCCCCTGCCAGACACCCCTAAACTTTAATAAATTTTAATTATACTTTCGTTATACTATAAAAGCTAAATTTTATATATGTTACTTAGGGACTTATAAAAATATGTTACCCCAATAGCCGGACAGTTTTAATGGTTCTTACATCTTGCCAGACACATTGAGAGCCCGCTGTAGGTGCGAGCGCGAGGTAGCAACTGTTCAAGCGGGTGTGAGCGAGATAGAGTGCTTAGTCTATTGTGATCTTTTAAGATATCCAATAAAAAATTATTTTATTACGTTCATAGCAATATTATAGAAAATAAGAAATGTTATTTTAATATTATAAAGTACAAACAAAATATTACATGTCAAAGAAAAATATTTAATCGTTCTTATAATTTTCCTCATTGTCGTCGATATTGAACTGATGAATAAGGCGATATCAATATCGCCTTACTCATCAGTTTCTGTAAAAAATTAAGAAAAATTATACAATTTGAATAATAAAAAAATTATGTACAATAATTTGTCATAATAATTACATACCTGATTGAGTTTTGAGCGAATCTCTAACATAACTCGGTAGTAGATCTTGGTGTTTGTCATCTTTCAATACCGTGCCATCATTATCCGGTTTCATATGAGGTTGGATTTTTTATGAGTCGGGGTTAGCGGAGCGATGATATCGAAGGCGAGATCATCGACTAACGCGTCGAGCCGCCTGCCATTAGGGGTTGTGGTGTGTGAGTTCCACCTGATGTGTTTACAATTTAGGTCGCCCACCAGAATGACAGAGCTTCCCATGCCGAGTAGCACCTCGATATCACTGCTTAGAACGGATAAATCCTATAAACGACAGCTGATGTGCAGTAAAAGATCACAATAGACTAAGCACTCTATCTCGCTCACACCCGCTTGAACAGTTGCTACCTCGCGGTCGCACCTACAGCGGGCTCTCAATGTGTCTGGCAAGATGTAAGAACCATTAAAACTGTCCGGCTATTGGGGTAACATATTTTTATAATTCCCTAAGTAACATATATAAAATTTAGCTTTTATAGTATAACGAAAGTATAATTAAAATTTATTAAAGTTTAGGGGTGTCTGGCAGGGGGTAACAACTGGAAAAAGTGTCCGGCAACGGATATCATGATTTCTAAAGATATTCTGGAGTAAATATTAAAAAAAAAAACCTTTATACTTTAACGAATTTAAGGTATTATTTTATATACCTTTACTGCCTGTTACCTGCCCAAGTAACCACAATAGAAACTCTATAATCGCGAGTCGTTCTTACCTGTGTTGGAGACATACACAGAGAAACTTTCAGCTTTTATAAAATAACGAAGGTCTGGCTGTCGCGGGCTCTTGCTCTATAAGCATATTACCAGAAATCAGCTTTTCTTTCATATTAGTCTACACTGGGGTATGACAAAATGGAACTGTAGTATCTTTCACTAAATTCATTAACAAATTACTATGAGGTTTTCGCAATCAGTAGGTACTTGAGAATATATTGTATATTATGTAAAATATTGATTACAGTTTTTTAACTACCTATTTAATGAAATTTGTGTATGTACATGTACTCAGTATTGGTTTACACGGTTGTTAAAAGTTTTTGGGGCCTAAAGTATAAGGATATATCAAATGATGTGATGGTGTTCAAATCTAACAGACAGATACCATTGATAATTAAAATAGATATCTAACACACTTCCACAATTAACTTACATAGTGAAAAAAATAATGTCATGTGATACACATAGAACAAAAAAAAAACTAAATTTATTCCCTTAGACATACTGCTACTTATAGCAATCTATGATAGGTTAGGTACCGCCATTCTGATTCGCCTTCAGCTAATGTACCTATATATTGCTTTTAAAGATATATTATTTATATAGAGATTGATTGTTTAGTAATGAATAACATAATATATACCTTCACACGTTCCACAGGACATACAAAGCCCAAAAGAAGCCGACGCCATTCACGGAGGAGCAACGGTACAAGTTCGCCGAGTACCTGTTGTCGCGTCGGTCTGTCAACACCGCCAAGGGCGTGACGCTCCTCCTGGAGGCAGCCACTGCCATTGCGGACGATGAAGTAATTACTAAATTGACTTTAAGATATTTTTAAGTAATGCTATTAGTTATTAGGTCAACGCTCTCGCGGCCGATCATCCACAAGGTGGACAGACTTGGTTAAGTTATCTGCGAAGTGTTCCCTTACTGAGTGTACACGTACCCTCACAAATAGAGAAAGATGGAGAAGTCTCTCAAAAGCCGCAACCAAACATTAAGACTTACGTAACCACGACCACTCCGCCAGAAGTGAACGACTGGGAAGAAGAAGAAGCAGTAGTTAAAAAAATTTTTGTTTGGTTACAGCCCACACCGATCAGCATTGCGGTCAAAGGCAAGAAGTATGTGACCTCTGAATCTGACAGCATCGAGTTCACCATCACCGACCTCATCGGCAGGCCGGTCCGCAACCTCAAACCTGAAGAAGTAATCGCGCAGTCCGGCACCAGGCTCGCCGACGACGTCGTTGTGCTATCCAAACAGCCTTTAACCCAGAAACCTAATGAACCGACTTTCGTCCTTAATCTAAACAAGATTAAGTCACAATATGGCGTGTACAAGATCGCTTTAAGTGCCGGGACGAAGACGACCAGCGTGAACGTGGCCGTGCTGGGAGAGATCCAGGTCGCCAATGTCGAGGTCGGCGTCGGCGACGTGGACGGCACCACCAGCCCTAAGATTACAACCATCACTTACCCGAATAAACTGGTGGATAAGTTGCTGGCTGATCATATGCAGAAGTGAGTTTTTGTTTTGTGTCTTTGCATCTAACCTATTGTCTTCTCTTGCGTTTCTGAATTTTGATTCCAAAGATTTGACTGCTATTTTTATCATGTATGTTTCCGTTTTCAGCATACTAAGAAAAACAATTTATTTCAATTACTGTAAAACAAAAGTATAATTCTTACTATATGTACAAAAAATATGACGTTAAACATGATACATGTAAAACATAATAACTCTATTTGTTTTTAGAGTGAGCCTGAAGTTTACGGTTCGCGACAAATGGAACAAGCCCGTTTTAGTTCAACAAGCTTTTGTAAGGGTTGCCAGCACAGAGACTGACGATGAAACTATCTTCGTTGCAGAACCTGACAACACTAAAGCGTATAAAGTTGAATTGGTAAAACCATAATGTCACTATTTACTTCTCTTTTTTCAACTCACCCAATATATATTTTATTTGGTTTAAATTAAAGTCGATTTTTGCAAAAAGATCACAATCTTATTAATAAATAACTATATTATCTCTTCATTAACCGTTATTTTGTTTATAAATTAAATTAAATTAAAATACTAAATAATATTTTAGCTGTTCTTCCTAAAAAATCTAAATACAACGTAAAATTGTACTGGACATTTAGATTTTTTTTATTTCCCTTGTTGGCAGACGAGGATACGGCCCACCTGATGGTGAGTGGTTACCGTCGCCCATGGACTTCAGCAATGCCAGGGGCAGAGCCAAGCCGCTGCCTACCTGCCATTGTAAAATGTTTTTTTTTCTTCATGATAGAACATCGGCAGCATAGCGAAACACCTCAACTACGCGTCGGGCTCGTACTCCCTGAGCGTGTACGTAGGAGACAGCGCCGTGTCCAGCCCCGTAGCCTGGCTGCTGGGAGACGTCTCCTTCAACTTCGGCAAGGACGCCAATGCTGTTGGTCTGTATATAATAGAATTCAGAAAATTAATAGTTTTTATCATTTAAATGATATTCACAAGCAAATGTTTTTGTGAAATTATATAATCATACTAGCTGTACTCGCCCGCTTCGTCAGGCATTTAAAATTAACATTATTATTTATTAGGGAGTCCAACACTCATATAAATATTAGCCTATCCATTAAGTACATGTATTTTCTACATGGATACCAAGTTTCAAGTCAATCGATTGCATGGTTCAGTAGTTATAACGGAACATCCGTAAAAATCACTATAGATTTATATACTAGTATAGATTTACCATTCAACTCGTGCAATAAATCATGCTGTATGAAAAATAGAAAATGTTATAATTATAACTAAATAGAAAATGTAATAATTATAACTAAATAGTCACAATACAGGGTGTCCCAAAATTCAACGATAAAAATGCACCACAGGGTGGACCTGCTCATGACTACTCTAGAAAAAATAGAGAAAAAAATTATCTCGATTATTTATTTATACTTATTGTACACAAAGAAGAAAATACAATAAAAACAGATTTAAAAGAATGTCTAAATAGTATGTACAAAGGCGAGCTTTATCGATTTTTTTTTGAAATTACCAATAAATTTTTGAAAGTTTTTGAAAATCAACACCCATCATGGTTTTTGTTACTATTGTGACCACAATTTTTCAAATATTTCTGATCTTTTGTAACAGCAACGTAAGTAGCACTCCTGTCTATCGCAATCCTTAAAACTACCAGAACACGTTCAGTTTTTACATAAAAAATCATCAAACTGTCGTGAATTTTGGGACACCCTGTATATGTTTGAATTGTGGAATATTGCAATAGTCTAATAGTGCACGTGACCTAGACATGCGGAGTACTCTATGAAGTAATGCCATATGGCATGACATTCCGTACCGCGTAATATGGCATTAGAACAGTACTCTAAAGTGTAAATTGAATAGCCAGCTAACGATTACGTATGTCTTATTGTACTGAATGTTTGGGTGTTATTATAAACCTTTCATTATTACCAAGTAAACTCTATAAAAGCTTACTTTAGATTTTGTTTAATGTATAAATAAAATTAATTAATATTTACATTTTTAGTTACAAATTATAAATAGTACATAATTGCGACTTCTTTTTACACCCGGACAATAGTACAGTAGGTACTAAAAACAGAACGCAACGGACAACGAACCTCTAGATATTAACCGACCTTTAGATAATATGTTCTGTGGATATGAATGTCATGTTTAGTGTTATATGACATGCTAAATTTTGCCGGGTAATAGGTACTGTTACATTACGCGGTCGTGCTATATTACGCGTACTGCATGGCACACAGTACTTACACATGTCTAACGTGACCGCAGGGGTGGCGCGGGCGACGGGTGCAGCGGGGGGGCGGCTGCCGGAGCTGGCACACACGTTCCGCGCGGCGGAGGCGCGGCCGGCGCGCGCGCTGTCGGACGTGTGCAGCGCGCTGTGCGCGGCGCCGCTGCTGGTGCTGCTGCTGCTGTGGGCGCGGATCGGCATCAACTTGCGAAACTTCCCCCTCGTGCCCAGCGCGCTTATATTCCATCTAGCCCTTGGAGGTACAGACCTTTGTATGAGTTTGTATGTAACTGACGCGCTTATTACCGTTCGCTGTTGTGATGTTACCTGGTCACTGAACCCCGTACATACTATATTAGTAATTCAACTCACCTCGAGACGTACAGACAAAATTCAGTGGTTCTTATAATAATAGAAATAACTATTATTCTACTTTTTAAATCTAAATAAATATGTCGAACGTGTATCCAATATAAAAGAATTACTCTGCTGCCATTATTAATCGCGCAGTTTTAAAATAAACCGTAATAACATACAACACAACAACAAAACATAGAAATAGTATTTTGTCCTTTGCAAAGAATCCCTGTTCAGAATTAACTCACATTGATTTGGGTACCTATCTAAACCAATACATGACCCTAATGCCAAAATTTAATTTAGATAAAATGACCCGATAATCACCAATTATTAATTGTCAGATTAAATAAGTATTATTTTAATAAAATTACCTTCTCCAAGAAATCCATACGAGTACATTGGCCATGTTAACAGTCCAGGTAAGTAAATAATTTTGATTTTTTTTTCCTCCCAGCATCTCTCGGGCTGTACGTCGTGCTGTGGCTCCAGCTGACAATGTTCGAAGCCATCCGCTACCTGCTGCCCCTGGGCGCCGTCACCTTCCTCTCCGGACATCGCCTGCTGCAACGTCTCGTGAAAGACAAAACCTCCAAATAATTATAAAAAAAAAGAGACTTGTACACATAAAGTTATTGTGTAATTACATGTGTAATTTAGTAATAAAATAATTGCAATATCCAACAAATTAAAAATTCAATAATTTATACTTTACATTTTTTACAATTGAATATGCAATTTCGAAAAGAGCATATGTCGCATATTTTGTCAAATATGTTTTTTCATGTACATGTAGTTTTGAGGCTTACCTACACCCATTTTATAATAATTCCAGTAATTTTAAATTGCTAATTAACACTAAAATATATCTCAAAAGTTAATATTTTAAATTTTACACTGCTTTAGAAAATAATCACTTTTTTTTCACTTCCTGAACATTTTACATTTTCAGAGATGTACCCTTTTCGAAATTGCATATTCAATTACTCTTTACATTTTTTTAATTTTCAAAGTTCAATTTACTTATATAATTAGTTCATCTACAGACATTTAAATTTTAGGGATTTTTCAATATTAATAATGCCTGTGTTGTAAAAGTGTAATGAGTTTAAGAATAGAAACAACCTTTTTTATTAGAACATAATTTCCGCCCTTGTACACACACACACACTACACAATCAAGGATCTCTACATGTTTAAATAGATAATGAAGAGTATGAAAATGATGTCTGGCTTTGGGGTATGTGAAACTGTTCCATCTTTATCTTCAGTTTGAGTTATTTAGTTGAATGTTGTTTTCTTACGAAATTAATATTCAATTAAATAATTCTACATTTAAGAATTTAATAAAAAAATATGATTTGTTAAGTGGTGTTTTATTATGAACTCTTACAACTACAGCAGCCACATAACACAGGTGAATCCTCTCGGAACGATTGTCCTACCCTTCAAATCGTCACGAAATGATAATTCGCAGTACATAAATATTGTGAGGATAAATGCTGGGAGCGGTCTCATAAGACGCCCTATCCAATTACGTTAGTTCGCAGAAGTGCCTTCAGTTATCAATTTCTACAAATTCGCAATGCAGTTACACCACGGAATTGTAATCTAGACACTAAGATTATTAATCCGAAGCTTTGCTAATATCTGTTAGTTTTTTATTTACTAAATGGTGGACGAGCTCACGGCCCAGCTGGTGTTAAGTGGTTACCGGAGCCCAAAGAAATTACAATATAAATGTTGCCACCCACCTCGAGACGTGAGTTCTAAGGTCTGTTTTTACAGTACAGCGGCCGCGCCCACCCTTCAAACCGAAACGCATTTTCTTTACGGAAAAATTAGGCAGGGTTATTACGCAAATTATAATTTTGCGTATTTGATTTTTATTACACGGTGTAATTTCTTCAGCGTGGAAGTCAATCATCAATATTTGATAAGTACCTACGTATTTCATTAAAAAAATTTGATCCTGCCTGCGGGATCAGAACACTGTTGCATTGCTTAATACGAATGCACTGGACATCTTTTCCTTAAGGACACGACGACTTTGTTCGTGTGTGACGTTCGACTGTGTTTATATTTGAAGCCCTTGCATTTTTTTTTATTGCTTACACAGGTAGATGAGCTTACAGCCCACCTGGTCTTAAATGGTTACTGCAGCCCATAGACATCTACGACGTTAATGTGCCACCCACCTTGAAAGATAAATTCTAAGGTCTCAAGAATAGTTAACGGCTGCCCCACTCTTCAAGCCGAAACGCATTACTGCTTCACGGCAGAAGTAGGCAGGGTGGTGGTACCTACCCGCGCGGACTCACAAGAGGTCCTACCACCAGTAAATTACGATGTTAGCCTGTGTATTCTCAACAATGAAACTCTAAACATATTTTGAGACTGAAACGCGTTTGTATCGCGTTTCTTATTGCACTAACAGGGTTCATTTTTTTCCTACCTAAGCTGTTGGCCTTAAGGGGCTATGTCAGCGTAACAGGGTGGGTAGGTGAGCTCACGGGGCTCAAACCGGGATGGTTGCTAAGACTGGCCTGAGCAAGACCACCCGATCGGAAACGCGACCCACTGAGAAGATCGGCGAGAAACTCAGTGGGAAGGGTTCCTTCTTCATGGACGTCCACCCTATCCACGAGAAAGGTAACCGGTCGAATCCATAGATCTATTATAGGCCTATCGCGATAACTTCCTTGCTTTAGAAGGTGATGGAGCGAATAATAAATACGCAGCTCCAGCAGTATCTTGAGGATCGCCAGTTGATCAGTGACCGACAGCACGGTTTCCGTCAGAAACGCTCAGCTGGGGATCTTCTTGTATAACTTACTCACAGGTGGGCTGAAGCCTTGGAAAACATGGACGAGGCTCGCGCTGTAAGCCTTAATATCGCAAAGGCCTTCGACAGGGTTAGGCATAGGGCACTTCAAAATGCTGGGAGACCTCAACAGAGCGAAGCGGTACTGTTCCCATCTCTGGGCCGGGGCTCACAACCAGCCACTTCTATTTGACTCCATACAGAAGAGGGCCGTTCGGATTGTCGATAATCCTATTCTCACGGATTGTTTGGAGCCTCTGGCTCTGTGGAGGGCCTTCGGTTCTCTCTTTATTTTGTTCTATAGTGAGATCCCATCATCTCGTTTTTACCATCGCACCGCCCGCCATCGAAGTTCATCCATATTATATAGAACCACTACGTTCGCCCACAGTGCGCTTTCAGATATTTTTGCCACGTAACACCCGTATTTGGATGAGCTCCCCTCCACGGTTTCCAGAGTGCTATGACATGTCCTTCTTCATACGAGGCTTGTAGAGCGTAGTACCTTAGCGGTAGGCAGCAGCTTGGCTCTACTCTTGGCATTGCTAAAGTCCATGGGCGACGGTAACCACTACCTATCAAGTAGGTAGTCTGTATGCTAGTCTGCCTAAAATGGCAATAAAACAAAAAAGGGCATTCATTAAAACTAGTTGGATTTGCAAAAATGCACTTTATTGCATATGTTTGTTTGTATGCAGTGTAAGGGAACCGTTCTCAAAACCCTAATGAGATTATTAAAACGGAAAACAGTGTATCACTTTTCGTTTGAAGTAATTCTTGGGAACTTCAAACTAAAACAGAAATGCTTTAAATCGTTCTCCTGAGTTCTCTGCTCAGCAGAAACCCGGTCTTAAATTTCGGCGCTACACTTTCCACCTAGTGAGTGTCATCTGTCAAGGCGGATTGTCACAACTCGCAAGAAATATGTATGATATATTGGCATCAATATTATTATTTGTTATATTGCACACGATTCAAGAGGGCAGTGAACTTAGCAACCTAATGTTAACACCTCGCTAATGTTAGGAAGGGTTCCCTTATGTCTGGTATCATTATTATTGACCACATATATAAAAATATTTTCCCTGATTACTACATGTTCACATTGTTATTAAATAACATTTCATTGGTACAGTACACTTACTATTAAGGAGTCCGCGGTTATCCATTTTATTCAATTATATGAAATTTAAAGCTATATTAAGCACTTAACTAATACAATTATCACACATAACTTATCTTAATAAACTTTAAGTATTGCTTATATTTAACTTAACATAGAAACGAAGCATTTATCAAACTTACACAATACATCTATCAATCTTAAAAATCAATAATATAATGAAATTAAAGTTACAATTTAAAAATTAAGTCACTACACAAAGTATTTATCTGAAGAAAAAGAAATACAATTCTTAATTATTCATAATTAAAAAAATAAAAATAAAAATTCCTCCATTTTCGGAATCTTACGTCAATATTAATTGTTTATTGATGCTTAATCCATAGAAGTATTTAATATTACTTTTTGTTTCAATTTTCTTTAACACACTACACACTGTCAGATTGGAATCATTAATACTGCCGTTATGTGGAATACACGGTTTAAAAGCCAGATTTAGGTGCTAGAAGTCTGCATCTAGTGTGAACACATTGTCAAGGCGATTGGCCATCACACCGCATTTTTGGTATTCTCCAACTTTCTTCTCGAAAAAGTTTGTCTTACCTTCCAGCGATATTAGATTCATGAAGTCGAAGGGGTTCTTTGTGTTGTAATGCTGTTGACGAAATTATAAAAAGTCAGTACATTTTGATGTTTTTTTTTAAATATAATAATAAATAGAATTAATATGATTTTTAATATGTTCATGATTATATCTTTCAGTCATTACTATCATTGTTAATTAAGAAATATTAACTCTCCTTTCAGTAGGTGGATTTACAATTTAATTACCTTTTCTCCAATTAGATCAACAAGTAATCTATCTGCAACAAACTCTATGTACTGAGACATTAGTTCGCAGTTCATACCGAGCAGTCTTACAGGGAGCGCATCTGTGAGAAACTCTTGTTCAATGACTACTGCATCTTTTATAATATGCAGGACACATTCCTTAGTTGGCTTTTGAACTAAGTGTTGGAACATCAGACAAGCAAAATCTGTATGCAGACCCTGTGGAGTTAAATCTCATTTATAGCTTCATTTGTGCTAATTTTAATTGTTATGTGCCTTATCATTATAATTACAACAGTGTGAAAAGCATGTTACTCCACTTCAATAGAAACTAAATATAGATTATTGTATAAAGATAACGGGCTATGTGAGGAACAGTACAACTGATAAAATTATTAGGAATGAATTCTGCTTGACCAATAATTCATTTATAACAATGTTTTTGGAAAACAACTAATTAGACAACATATAAAAAGTCAATATCCTAATTGTTTTTCTTATACAAACCTCATCCCTGGAAATAAGTTCATTACTGAATGTAAGTCCCGGCATAAGGCCCCGCTTTTTGAGCCAGAAGATGGAAGCAAAACTGCCTGAGAAAAAGATTCCTTCCACAGCTGCAAAGGCAACAATCCTTTCACCAAATGTTGCAGTCTTGCTTGCAATCCACTGTAGAGCCCAATCTGCTTTCTTCTTTACACAGGGAAGAGTCTCAACCGCATTAAACAGGAAATCTCTAAAAAAAAAAAATTATTATCCAAGATATTTTTTTGCTTTGCCTAGATCAATGATTATCAAACTTATTTCTTTTACCGCCTCCTTTGAAAATCAATTCTTTTTCAGCACCCCCTATTTTTTATACACCCCTAAAACTTAATAACAACAATTTCTTTAATTAATTTAGTTATATTAGTCGTTTCTGATGTTTAAACTCACTTTCTAGGCTAGAAATTTTTACCAGTGAGAGAACTTTATAATATTAATAAAATATGTTAATGAAATTAAAAGAAAAAAAAATTTATATTATGTAATCTGTTTTCGTTTTTATAGTAATATAATGAGATGAATAAATTTGATGATATTTAATAAGTTTGCTGATATCAGGTTCGGTTTTACTCAAAAACAATCATAAGTCACCACGTTTGGTAACTTGCAAATGATTTCTCTTTTTAGTAAGCAATGTTGTCACAGCACTAAATCCACGATCACACAAATATGACGATGGGAGTGCTAACAAAAATCGCTCAACGATAGACCATAATCCAGGGTACAACTGTGGAATTGACTTTTGTAGCCAAAATTGTTAGTAGCCATTTTTTTTTTTCTCGTTCGTTGTCAGTTCTATAAGTTCTTCCAACTGGGGTGATACTGCTATGTTAACATTTGAAAAAGGATCTAACACCCAGTCTGGTATTTCCAATATCAAAATGTTTTTATTTTAATGAAATTTAAAATACTATATAAAGTAAATGAAATTACAAATTATACATCGCCCCCCTAACCCACATCAACGCCCCCCATTTTATCTGGGCCTCTTAACGCCCCCCTCTATGTTTCAAACGCCCCCAAGGGGGGTTATCGCCCACTTTGAGATAGACTGGCCTAGATAGATAAGCTAATGGCTCATCTGGTGTAAGGTAGTTACCAGGGCCCTTAGCCACAAAGAACATAAATACTGCCACCTGTCTTGTAACATGAGTTGAGAGTCTGTTTTATAGTAGAACAGCAGCCTCATCCTTCAAACTGAAGCACATCACCGTTTCACAGCAGAAATAAGCGAGGTGGTAGTATCTATGTAAGAGGGGCTTACCGCCAGTAAAGGTAAGTCAAGTCATTTTAGAAAAAAATTATTGATTAAGAGCAATGATACTGAGACAGTCATAATAATTAAGATAAATAAAATTTACTATACCTCTCCTTCGGATCTCTGATGTATGTATCTATAAGCAGGGAATACATTTCAGAATGAACATTTTCCATGGCTATCTGGAAGCCATAGAAACATCTTGCCTCAGTGACTTGAACTTCTTGTGAAAATCTCTCAACCAAGTTTTCATTTACAATGCCATCTGAAGCCGCAAAGAAAGCAAGGACATGCTTGATGAAATGTCTCTCACTATCTTTTAAGGTTTCCCAGTCTGATAAATCCTAGAAGAAAAATCAGTCAAGTAAGCTAACTTTTCAGCCATAACATTAGTTGTTTAAAATTTAATATAATGTTTAGACTGGAATTTCAATACGAGAACTAAGTGCATGCAAACTGGATCAATATTTTTTTTCAACGACTTCTAACCTTTTCATAAAAAAATTACCTTGGACAAATCGACTTCCTCGACGGTCCAAAACGAAGCTTCAGCTTTCTTGTACATTTGCCATATATCGGGGTATTGAATAGGGAAGATGACAAAGCGCCGCGGGTTCTCACGCAGCAGAGGTTCCTTCTGTGGGTCGAACTCTTCGAAATTTTTATCGAGGTCCATTTCCTCAGTCAAATTGTCATTTTTCGTAGCCAATACACTATTTTTCATGGGCGACTGTAACACAAATTAACAATTTTATTATATGAACAACTTTTAACGCATTAATCAAAGAAGGAAACAATACAAACCTTCGTTTGCACACGGTTTTCACCGTTGATTCCGCTATGAAGATTCTCTTTATCAACAGTAGGAGCCATTGTTTATTGCCTTTCAACAGTATTTTAGTTCAAGCTGCTATTGTATCACCACAGTCGGCGGTCTAGTTACAAGTTACAACTTGATGTGAGTTTATTTGCGAAAACTCCCACTGTGTCATCATTAAAATCAACTGGAAAATGCACATATGGCGGGAAGATCGTTCATTGGCTGTATAGTTCCGAAACAGAGACTGTGTGAGGAATAGTATTATAGAATAAATTTTAGCTTTTGTTCAAATTGGTATTACGAAAAAAGTTAACTAGAGTCGTACATTTTAAATTGGCAAAAAATAATACTGTTTTTGTAAGCATAAATTTGAAAGTAAATTTGAAAAAAAATAATTGTGTTTTTATGAATTACTTATAAATATTAATCTTTTTAAGTTAAAAGGGTGGTTTCGGAACGCTTAATGGCTCCGAAAAATAACAAAGTTTCTAGTTGAAAAGGGCGCGAAATTGATGGTGGGAGGAATGTTTGTAGGTTTACTTTTTAATTATTAAATTATCGGGTACGTGTCTATTGGCCGTGTATATTCTTTACAGAGATTAGTTTGAGAAATTGAGTAATAAATTGAAAGTGTATTATATTAAGGAGTACTAGTAGATTCGAATTATTATTCATTGTAAAACAGTTTTCTTTTACAAGTTTTTCTTTGTCAGGAAGAAATCGTCGAGCGTCCACATATGCCTTGTGAACGCCAGAAAAAGCAGAAACCCAATTTTTTATTGTTGCTTAAATAAGTGAACGTAGTCCATGTTTTTTTTTAAATTTTTTTATTGCTTAGATGGATGAACGAGTTCACAGCCCGCCTGGTGTTAAGTGGTTACTGGAGCCCATAGACATCTACGACGTAAATGCGCCACCCACCTTGAGATATAAGTTCTAAGGTCTCAAGTATAGTTACAACGGCTGCCCCACCCTTCAAACCGAAACGCATTACTGCTTCACGGCAGAAATAGGCAGAGTGGTGGTACCTACCCGCGCGGACTCACAAGAGGTCCTACCACCAGAAAAAGTTTCAAGGTATGAATTACATAAAATTAAAAACAGTTTGAATTCGTTTTATATTACTTATATGGGCGGACAAGCTCACGGCCCAAGTGATATTAAGTGGTTACCAGAGCCCATAGATGTTAACAATGTAAATACCGCCACCAACCTTGAGACATGAGTTATAAGTCTCAGTTCTTTCAACGGCTGCCCTGACATTTCAAACCAGAATGTATTACTGCTCTGCGCCAGAAATAGGTGGCGGTATCTACTGATGAGCGCCGACAAGACACCCTATTACTAGTGATAATAAGCTGATTTACATATATGTAATCGTAAGTATGAAACAGAGAAGATCGTAAGCACTTCATTCTATTTACTTACAGTTACTGCTTCGATTTCTGTAATGAAAACAGGCTGTATAGTGTAATTTCTTCGCCCTTCAAATTCCCAGAAAAGTTAAACCAATGAATTTGACGTTAACGAAATCGCTGTCAGGCTGTCTTAAGCTGAGCTGTCAATGCCGGAAAATTTTGCTTTTAATTCTGTAAATTTTGTTATTTGGGCTCTTGTTTAAATTCTGATTAGGTGTAATATTTAAAATGTCTGATAACGATGACGATTATATGTGTGATGAGGAAGAAGACTATGGCTTGGTATGTTCATTTTAGGCATAAGTTGAGCACTCAACATGTTTTTAGTATTCTCTTACACATTCTGACTTCGTTACGATTGTTGATCACCTGTTTAAAGTATGCTTTTGAATTTTCATGTTCAAAATAAATGTATACATGACACCAAGATGTTAGGCTTTCAAACGGCTATACGTTAATTGGCCGGCTTAATACACACCTCTGATCTCACACTGAACATTTATGGAACGCCTGCAAATATCAGTTTTAAGCCAAAATTTAATAAAGAAAATCTTTTGCAATCGTAGGAATATTCAGAAGACAGTAATTCAGAACCAGATGTGGACCTCGAAAACCAGTACTACAATAGCAAAGCACTGAAAGAAGATGTACCACAAGCGGCATTACTCAGTTTCCAGAAGGTTTTAGAGCTAGAAGGTGGAGATAAAGGGGAATGGGGATTCAAAGCTCTCAAACAAATGATCAAAATTAATTTTAAGCTAGTTAGTATATTGATAATTGATATTAATTAATGACTAGTAAGTTGAAAAATGTAGAAATTAATTGAATTGTGAAACCAACATTTTTCCATGATAAAATATTTGAGACAATTTACCAACCTGAAGGAGCAAAAGCTTAGGCTGGGCAGTGGGTCTAGTTAAAGTTTTAACTCAACTCTGAATGCTGTCACTTTGAGATATGATTAATCAATCATTAATGATGAGTGTTACTTTTGAGCTTGAAAGCACAAATTATCTAGCAGTAGCTATATTATAGGCTTCTTCATGCTTCCTACCAATATTCAAGTTAGAAAATGGAAATATGAGTTATATTGAAGATAATGGGGAAATACAACTAGTATTATAAGGCCAAGCTCATGCTTATGTAATAAGCAGTTAGACAAGTTTATCTAATAGTTGCTATCATTCAAGTTACCTTAACTTAATGCCTGGTTCATTCAGATACTTACAATATAACATGAAACTTTCAGAGTAACTTTACAGAAATGATGGCGAGGTATAAACAACTCTTAACATACATTAAAAGTGCCGTCACTAGGAATCATTCGGAAAAATCTATCAATTCAATTTTAGATTACATCTCTACATCTAGGAATGTGAGTAACTGTCCTTTTCACTTACACATATAATCGGAGGTATAGATAGCTTGTTTGTCTTTACAAGCTCAGAATATAATAACTAATAAATTCTTCCAGATGGAATTATTACAAGACTTTTATGAAACAACATTAGAAGCATTGAAAGATGCAAAGAATGATAGGCTCTGGTTTAAGACCAACACTAAACTTGGGAAATTGTATTATGACAGAGGAGATTTCAACAAGCTAGCAAAAATATTGAAACAACTACATCAGAGTTGTCAGGTGAGTAATAATTTCTGTAAAATGTTATTCCAGATTCACTTGTGATGCAGGCATGCATTTATAACATATAAAAAGACACAGGTTAAGATCAGGACATAAGATGAAATCTTTTGTGGAGTGGTCACAATTGGCATCATAGCCAATTGTTGTCTTCACTAATAACAATTAAACCAGATGTTCATCTGTACATTCGCATATTTATGAATTTATTGGCAAAATAACTAATAATATTAAATATCAAAAATTGAGGCATGGTTGTGGAAATGTCTTTATATTGTTCTTAAGCGATTGATAATATTGTTTGCTACTTACCTACCTTGAATTCTGTAATTCTAGTCATCGTAACTAAACATAAAATTTATTTTATTATACTAACTTATATGTTGTTTTTGTATTTTTCCTATAATTTTCAACTCCTAACTATATTTTATCTTATGGCTTAATCTCAGATGACTACTTACTTAACTACTTATGACCACAAAAACTGTGGACTATTTGAAATGAACATTACACGTACTTCAAAATTTAATGTGCCTTTTTAAAGAATTATGGTCTGAATCAAAAATTGTTAACATTCTTATCCCAAAAAAAATTGGAGGATGAATAAATACTAAAACCAAATATTCTGAAGTTTCCACCCCCATGCCATACCTACCAAGTATTTGTATTATTTTGTATTATGTGCATTAAAAATTTTCAAAATTCCAACTATTACTCATTTAAAATAAAAGTTGACTTGGTATTCAATATATTCTCTTTCCACAGACTGATGAAGGTGAAGATGATCTCAAGAAAGGAACGCAACTACTAGAAATATATGCTCTTGAGATACAAATGTATACTGCACAAAAGAACAATAAGAAATTAAAAGCATTATACGAACAGTCCCTACACATAAAATCTGCAATACCACATCCACTCATCATGGGTGTCATCAGAGGTAAGATGATGTATTTTAGTTAATTGCATCATATTATATAATATGATGCCCCAGCACTGTGTCCCAGCGTCACATGCTCTGTTTCTATTTTGCTCTATGGTAAAGTTACAGTATAAATGTACTATTTGTAATTTTTTTCTAAACTCCATGCTTTAATATTGAATTTCATGCTTCTCCTTTCAAAAGTGACTTCTTCTTTCAACTTCTTTCAATTTCTCTTATAAAGTGTTAACTTATGTACACTCTCTTAAGATTTGGAAAAACATCAAGATTTGCATATATTTATTTCTAACCAAAAGTAGGTAAATACACATACATAGGTATATGAAATGTCATGCACCTTACTATTTGATTATATTATATATATATAATTATGAATTTAAAAATAAGCAGTAGCCCTGATTTTACCCGTTTGGTGTAAAATATCCTAAAATGTTTCTTTGGTGGATACTTGCAATACAAGAGCTACCAACTACCACACTTTCAGGCAGCTCCATCGGCTTAGGTTTTGCTTTAATGAATCATTCTGGAAAAGTATTTGAATATGAGCAATGATAGATCGTGATGTCATAATTTCAGAATGCGGCGGCAAAATGCACCTTCGTGAGGGAGAATTTGAGAAAGCGCACACAGACTTCTTCGAGGCGTTCAAGAACTATGACGAGTCCGGGAGCCCGAGGCGGACCACGTGTCTGAAATATTTAGTTTTAGCTAATATGTAAGTAAGAATCTTTGATGTGGAAGCTCATTTGAGTTTACTCATCGAGGCCCAATAATAAAAAAACCAACAGTTTTTGTAGTAAGTAGTAAGTGTACCTACCTATTCATAAAATTAAATATTGATGATTGAACAGGTTGATGAAATCCGGCATAAACCCATTCGATTCCCAAGAAGCGAAGCCGTACAAGAACGATCCCGAGATCCTCGCCATGACCAACCTGGTGATGGCCTACCAGAACAACGACATTAATGAATTCGAATCCATACTCAAACATAATAGGTAACACACATTGTTTCATGCAAAATACTTTCATATTATATTATGTCATTTATATGTTACATGCCGTAGTCAAATTGTGTTAGTATCAGCTGACTGAAAAAAAAAATTAACACACAAAAGTAAAGTTAGCAGTAAAATACTTATATTGTAGGAATAACATAATGGACGATCCGTTTATCCGGGAACACATAGAGGACCTGCTGAGGAACATCAGAACTCAGGTGCTGATCAAACTGATCGGGCCTTACACCAGGATCCACATACCGTTCATATCCAAGGAGCTTAATATTGATGAGAAGGAAGTTGAGAATTTACTTGTCACATGTATTCTGGATAAGTGAGTACGGATTTTAAATAATACAATAAATTTTCCCTTTTGGCTTCTATTAGGTGCGTAATGGACCTAAATGACTCGTTAATATTATACTGACTCCTGGCTCCAGATATAAGTGAAGTAAACAAATACTGCATCAGCACAATGTATCTTGCAATTTAAATCCGAACTCCTAAATGTCTCGTGGCAGTAATAATGACTTGAGATACTTAAGATAGGAGTGAAATATTTTCGACGACCCGTCGGTCGGGCGTCCTCGGGATGGCGCCGCGAGTCTGGTTGTAATGTTGACCGCGGGTACCCCCTTACTCTGACCGGACTCTGACCCCGGGTGGAGATCGAACTTTGGGTGTAAGAGTGCAGGAGAGTCGTTTAGTGCACTAGGGCCCTAAAACTCCTTGGTCCCGCGGTCCTCTCCCAACATCTGCAGATCGTCAAGTCCCACGTACCCCGCGCGCTTTCTAGGCGCGGGGACCACGTAGGAGTTTTTTTTTATTGATAAGGGTGGACGAGCTCACAGCCCACTTGGTGTTATGTGGTTACTGGAGCCCATAGACATCTACAACGTAAATGCGCCACCCACCTTGAGATATAAGTGTTCTAAGGTCTCAAGTATAGTTACAACGGTTACCCCACCCTTCAAATCGAAACGTATTACTGCTTCACGGCAGAAATAGGCGGGGCGGTGGTACCTACCCGCGCGGACTCATAAGAGTAGTTAAATATTTGAGAGATAGTAGAGCCCCGTTGTTGCAGCACCATCAGCGGGCGCATCGACCAGGTGAACTCAGTGCTGGAGCTGGCGTCGGGGCGGCGCGGCGCGGCGCGGTACGGCGCGCTCGACAAGTGGACGGCGCAGCTCGCGGCGCTGCACCAGGCGCTCGCCAACAAGATGGCCTAGCAACGCCACGCCGACACCCTCTCTCTTACAAACAATGCTTCCCAAACTTAGCGGACCAGAACTCATTATGTACTGGAAAACAAATTTGAGGAACTAAGTCTATTCGAAATCTGCGGGAATGAGGTCTGCGACTTTGAAAACTTTGGGATTCAATGATTTTAATGGGCCTAAGGGCTTAAAAAATGTTAACCACTGTTACCAATCTTTGGCCCTGATGTCGATTATTAATTAATCATATTAAACAATTTCTATCGTGTGTGTTGCTTTTGTATTATTTTTTTTTTCATTTTTTATATATTTCAAAAGTAGTGGTAACTGAAATAATTCAGCGGTCTTAGAGCCAACGCTATGGAGATTGATTGATATGATTAATTAATATTTCTTAGTCGTGCGAGTTTGTGTTACGGCCCCCCCTTTTTTTAATAAATATATGGCATGGATAACTCGAAGCAAAAATGAACGGTAATATAATGAAATAAAGTGCCCTTGACTATCCATGGTTTAGTCGGATTTGACTCGGTGCAGACTAGCTTAAGCTTCGAGCCGTATTCATTGCGCGGTGGCCGGGAAAGATAACCGGTAATGTAATAAAAATTGAATACTGTCAATGGTCTTCTGTTCCCCGCCACTGCGCCTGAGAATTTGTACATCAGAATGTAATTTTTATAAATATCGATGTATTTCTTTCTACAATCGGACNCTATCCATGGTTTAGTCGGATTTGACTCGGTGCAGACTAGCTTAAGCTTCGAGCCGTATTCATTGCGCGGTGGCCGGGAAAGATAACCGGTAATGTAATAAAAATTGAATACTGTCAATGGTCTTCTGTTCCCCGCCACTGCGCCTGAGAATTTGTACATCAGAATGTAATTTTTATAAATATCGATGTATTTCTTTCTACAATCGGACAACGCGTGAAGCCACTGTCTCGCATGTTTTTTTATGGAAACATAAGTGAATCGGCAGTGATGAAAAAATGTAATTATCACATAAAATAAAGCGTTTTTAAGAAGGAATTGACTTTATTTTGATCAACTTGAAAATGTGTTATCGTTATTCCTATTACAAGCTAAGCTAAGCTAAGCCAAATGACAGGCATCGGTGTGCAAAGTATTTCAAAGAACAAGCCTATTCGCATTAACAATCGAAAATCTAACGTCATTGATTACCTTTCAAATTTGTCTTTTCCCCATTAGGGCCGAGTCACACCGGAATGGCAGCGGCCCTCGGCGTCGCTGCTGGCGGCCTCCAGACTACACGCGCCTAGTCTCCTCTTGACTAGTTTAGTTTCTTCATTTGGCAATGATCGTGTAATAAAAATGAAACCCGTAAAATTATAATTTGTGTAATTACGGGTTCTAGGACCTCTTGTGAGTCCGCGCGGGTAGGTACCACCGCCCTGTCTATTTCTGCCGTGAAGCAGTAATGCGTTTCGGTTTGAAGGGCGGGGCAGCCGTTGTAACTATACTTGAGACCTTAGAACACATATCTCAAGGTGGGTGGCGCATTTACGTTGTGGATGTCTATGGGCTCCAGTAACCACTTAACACCAGGTGGGCTGTGAGCTCGTCCATATGGGTGTACGAGCTCACAGCTTATATAAGCAATTAAAAAAAAAACGTTTGTTTGGAGTGAACATGATGGAATTGGTTATTATATATGACAACGGTGCCGCGAGCGGCCTCGTGTCGCCGCTGGCAGAACCACCGACAAGACGCACGTGGCGCGCGGCTGCTCGCTTCACCGCGGGCGGGCGGCGGCTGTGTCGCGGCTTTTCTAGCTTTTCAAGCGATACTGATCTTTTAAGTATATCTAAGATAAAGTTTAAAATTATATCACACTGAAAGTGCTCGCCGCGACGCTGCCATTCCGGTGTGACTCGGCCCTTAATATTTCCATCGGAGATCACTTTTAGGCAAGTGATGAAGCTATTCAACATTAAACAATCCTGAGCCTTAGTCACCCTCCTCTCTCTCTCCTAATGTATTTGCACGTGGTTATCGAATACCTGTGTTCTACCCTATAAATGGGGACGCTTCCTCATAGCTACAGCCCACTGAGTTTTTCACCGGATCTTCTGCACTGCACTGCTCTTGCTAGGCAAAGCTTAGCAACGTCGTCAGGTTTGAGCCCCGTGAGCCCACCTACACGTTAGGGTAACCCTGATATTATAGCCTCACAAGGCTATAAAGCATCTTCTTTCTATCAGTCGTGTCTAATTTGAAATGTAGAAGAATTTGAAATGAATGTTTACTGGTGGTAGGACCTCTTGTGAGTCCGCGCGGGTGGGTACCACCACCCTGCCTGTTTCTGCCGTGAAGCAGTAATGCGTTTCGGTTTGAAGGGTGGGGCAGCCGTTGTAACTATACTTGAGACCTTAGAACTTATATCTCAATCTGAGTGGCGCATTTACGTTGTAGATGTCTATGGGCTCCGGTAACCAGTTAATACCAGGCGGGCTGTAAGGTTGTTCACCCATCTAATAAAAAAAAAAAAAGTGGACCACTCGATGCACAATGCTTCCCCACGTCTTCCTGTCCTCGGCGGTCTTTATAGCCTCGGTTATTGGCAGGCCGGTCAGCGTCTACCAGATCAGACTCAGCGGGTAGGTGAGCGTCCACGTGATCTTGTACCATTAACCTGACCAACTACCATCAGCTTCTCTAAGTTATCGGGGCCTCTACGAGCGATGTGGCCGAAGTACGTGAGAATACGATGGAAGCAGATAGCGGACAGCCTTGTGGAAATACCAAGCTCCTTAAGGAATAAGCATAGGAAGCACAAAAGAAAGGGGGGACGCATGACTGCCTAGCGAAGAAATGTAAGGGATTGTGATATCGTCCTGTGTAGTCTCACGACATGCCACATCGGTGGTGAGCACTGATTAAACAAATTTATAAACCTCGGGATCATAATATAATAAAACTACATTCAATTTTTCGAATATTATATGTATTTTATTAATATAAGTTCATTCGTAAAATCATTATAGAATAATTAAAATTGGACGGATCAATAATATATCACAGGTTAGTTTAAACACGACAAGTTCCATTAGTATAATTTAACAGTAAATTCACAAATATGAGCAAAGTACATCAAATACAATAACTTTATTTTTGTAAAAAAATATTTTCTGTGCGAACACGCGATATGAAAGAAAGTTCTCTGACGTTAAATAGAAAGAACGTGCGCTCTTTTAAGTACTTTGTAACACACATTCTGTGGACCATAAAAATATGTCTTGTTTTTATAGATTCAAATAAAATCTTTCATACGTGATCATTGACACTGACAATAAGATTGTTCGTCAGCAATCATAAACAAAGAATTTCTAATAAATTTTTTGTTGAATAAATTTCAAAATTTTAATTTGTCAATTTAGAAAATATTTTAGTCATATTGTGGATTAATTTGTAAGAAAAAAAATTATGTGGTAATGACAGTTGTTATATAATAGAGAATACACATTTGTTTTATAAACAAAGATAAAAATGAAAAACATTGAAATAATAAACATTTTCATTACCGCTTGACTGAGGTCTCCTAAGTAGTGGTTGCTTAGTAAGCACGTAGTGAACTGAACCACTAACGCCATCTAGTTTGTTTTTATATACTTGGAAAACGCAATTCTGTCGGCGACTGTACCTCAGTTACGCAATAAAACGGTAGGGCTGCTTACGTTTTAATTAAAATGGCACCAAATGATATTTTTAATCACAATAATCTATGTACTTTTGATATGTCATATTTTTAATATATATATTACACGCGTACACATTATTCTTAACTCTAGGGCAGTGTTAAAATTTTGAATAAATTCGTTGTCACAATGTCGTATGAAGATTACCCTTTTCAACGCGTTTTTATTAGCTTGACCTGTATATATATAAAATTTTGCAGAGGATATTTTCAACATTATTTTCACTGATCTAAAGACCTTGAAAATTCTCAAAAATCGATCAAAATGCCATCATAGTTCTACTACTTTGGCCTAATATCTTGAACAGGATAATAACAATTTATTATTTTCATTTTTGCCTTTTTCGCCTAAGGCGTGTTTTTTTAAAACTTTTTTAAATTTTGCCTTATACTGTAGTTCTGTAAATTCATGGAATGTACATTTAAGGGACAAACTCCTTATTCGTTTATTTGTTATACAGTAAAACGGTAGAGTTTGTGTTACTTGGCCGCTTCACGTAGCCGGTCGGAAGACGATGCTGAAATTTGTAAAATGTGCATTCTCATTAAATTTCTTTGAAATTTAAGAGGTAAATTTAATGAGCAGAAATGGGTTTATCAAAATTAAGACAAGCATTACTATGTATGTTGTGCGAGATGGAGCGAATTGCAAAAAGCATTCTTCTTATCAGCCCACAGACGTCCACTGCTCGACATAGGCCTCCCCCAAGCCTCGCCACAAAGGTCCTGCGCTGCCTGCATCCAGCGGATCCCCGCGAACCTCGATACGCTACGTCTTCCGGTTCGCGGGCGCCACCCAAGAACTTTTTGGCCCCAACGGCCATCCGTTCTACGAGCAATGTGTCCTGTCCACCGCCACTTCAATGTCGCAAAAAGCATTAGTAAAATATATTTTTCTAATTTTTTTTAATATTATCGGGGCAGAATAGACTCTTCAGCAACACTTAAAAAATGAGACGTTGTCGTTTCAAACGTTGTTACCACAAAAAAAAACTTTGTCTCTGTACAGTTTTTTTTTAATTGTGTATATCAGTGAATGTGGTTACGGCCTACTTAGTGTTAACCTCATAAAAGTTAGATACGTTGTGGTATCACCCACTGTGAGACATGAGGTCAGAGTTTCAACAGTAAATACGTGTCCCACTTTGAAAACCGGAACCCATAGCCGTTTCTCAGCTTATCTGTTAAATTTCTATAGTATGTTACAGTTATTGTAAGGTTTCTTCTATTTCAGATAACTACCATTACATATTCATGTTTTCTATTAACTACGATACAACAATGTTTAGATAAAGTGTATACGTGGAAGGTTGCTCATGTGATGGACCGATCAAGTGAAGTCGGCAGTTGGCGGTTGTTTACATGAGTGTACCAGGCTCACCACAAACCAGGAGAAATAACAATTTGCGTAATTACTGGTGGTAGGACCTCTTGTGAGTCCGCGCGGGTAAGTACCACCGCCCTGCCTATTTCTGCCGTGAAGCAGTAATGCGTTTCGGTTTGAAGGGTGGGGAGCCGCTGTAACTATACTGAGATCTTAGAACTTATATCTCAAGGTGGGTGGCGCATTTACGTTGTAAATGTCTATGGGCTCCAGTAACCACTTAACACCAGGTGGGCTGTGAGCTCGTCCACCCATCTAAGCAATAAAAAAAAAGGAGAAGTGGCGATTGCTCGTGAGGCGCATAACATCTGCCCACAGCAAAGACACTGAATGACGACCAAGACCGCTCTGACAAGAGTGATATAACAGAGAAAAATAAATTAGTGTACCGGTTCAGTGGGCAGGTTTATCGTGGAGCCAGGGCCGGAAGATCGGCAGCGTGCTCGGGTACAGGGTGCCGGGAGGGTCCGCGCCCTCCTCGCGGTACGGGTACGTGCCCACCACTATCGGCAGCTGCAGTTTCACCTCCTTCTCCAAACTCTTCGGCTCTATTATAAACTGAAAGAGATAGCACTCGGTGAATAGAGCGCGGACTTTTTTTTTATGTTTGAGGGATTACTGGTGGTCCGGAGGCCTCTCCAGTTTCATCAGGGCAGATGGGCGAGCTAAAGGCTCAGTCAGGAGGAGTGGGATTTGCTAACAGCTGCCCGAGCGCCTCCAATGGAGACCCAATAACTCAAGGACAGCTGCTTCGCGAATTAATCTATTGAGTGCGGATTGGCTTTACCATGGTCAGTTGGGACAATGATCAGAAAAAGAAAAGCAAGTAGGATGCTGATAACCATATTTCCATTATTTTTTGATAATAATACTAAATCTATCGTCAACTGCTATTAGACAAAAAAAAATGAGCAACACGATGAGAAAAAAGTAATGTTTTGTTTCCTTACCTTATTTAGAGATTAACTAGAAAATTATTATTTCATAAATATAATATAAATTGATTGATGCAGGGTATGAATAGTCGTTGACATTTCTATGGGACGATAAGGTTCAGATACATATTTTTTTTGTGCGGTCTTCGCTGTGGGCACGCGCTGCACAGGAGTTGGAGCGATGAAAGTGAACCTAGCGAATACCTTATGAAATGAACACAAAATTGGCATTGCTGAGGTCCATGGGCGACGGTAACCACTCACCTTCAGGTGGGCCGTGTGCTCGACTGACTACAAGGGCAATAAAAAAATTAAAAAAAAACCCAAAGAAACTGTCCACTTTGTATAAGGGGGTAAAATGGCACTTACGAAGACGTCATAGTGCACGGATATGAGATGGCAGCCCCTGAGGTTGGTGGGCGGCAGCGGCGGCACGTACAGCTGCTCGCGGCGCCACACGTCCGCCGCGCCCGCGCGCACCTTGCCGTGCCGCAGCACCGACAGCTCGCGCACCTCCTTCGCCGCCACCTGCCGCCCCACCGACACTACACTCACTCAACTGTCCTTGCGTTCTTACTGTATGGAACACGAGCTCTCACCCAACCCGATGTTTACCCTCCGTATTATTATGATAGATGTATACGGAATGCATTCAATTAATAGTTACATGCTTCCTAATTACAATGAGTATATCTTTTTTTTTAATTGTCCTTGTAGGCAGACGAGCATACGGCCCACCTGATGGTGAGTGATTACCGTCGCTCATGGACTTCAGCAATGCCAGGGGCCATGCCAAGCCGCTGCCTACCGCTTACACACACACACACACACACACACTCCACAAGCCTCTTTTGTAGAAGTACATGTCACAGCCCTTGGGAAACCCCGTGGAAGGGAGTACATTCCATAGCCGGGCGTATACGTAGCAAAAAAGACCTCTGGAAACGCACTGTCGATGAACGCAGCGGTTCCAGATAATATGGATGAACTCTGCTCCGATCTTACAGGCCGTAAGGACACTTTTGAAAAGCATATTTGCAATTCTACGATTTGTCTTTTTGCAGACATTTGAGCAACATGGTTTGGTAAAAAACGAAATTTAAGCCGAATTATTCACTAATCCTCATTCCCTGGCCACTTTGATTGTCCAGTAACAGCGTGGATTGATGTATTTAGTGTGGGTCAGTAACCTTCCCGTGCGCGTGGTAGTGTATGGTCTCGGTGAGCGCGGCCCTGGATCCCTTGATGGTGGTGCGGCTCCGGTTGTGCAGCGCGGCGGAGAGCAGCACGGTCTCGCCCGGCACGTACGCGCTGCGGTCCAGCGACACGCGGCACGACACGGCGCCGCCGCCCACGCACCCCACTCCCACGCGGTGATCCACGCTGCACTCTAACTCTTGCTGCGAAGGTACATTCTCTACTGACTACCGACTAAATTATTACAAGCTTATCGTTCTTACGTCATTAAAATACACTTTTTTCAATGTGTGCGATCAGTAGACTTTTATGAACATTAATTTTTAATCTAAAAAGTACATACTCAACTGTGTTCGTTTTTTAAATTTCCTCTTGCACTTTTTTGTAAACGAGTTCTAAAGAAATTTCCAGCCAATAGTACATCAGAGTTTATTCTTTACAGGTTATATTCCAAGGGCAGAGTTTCAGCCAAGCCCATAGCGCTCCTTAAATTCTTTATTATTTCTCTATCAGTTTTTTCCCTACCTATTCACTGGTAGCCAAGGAGCTATTTCAGCTACGCGTGGACTAGTAGGTGAGCTCACGGGTTAAATCTGAGAGAATATGCTAACGCCAACCTAGCAACCCTAATAGTAAGCCTAGTAACACCAGTGCTTCGCAGAGTCTACCACCGGTCGGAATTGCGACCCACTGAAAAGATCCGGTTGTAAACTCAGTGGGCAGTGTCTTTCTAAAAAAAGCACTTGGCGCACATCTATATGTATATATAAAAACCTATGTTACAAATATAATGTTACAGACTACAAAAGTTATCTGACGAATAGCTAGCGCCAACAAATTATCTTAAGATACAAAATTTCGACACAACCAGATATACAGTGTTTATTACAAAAAACTAACCACAAACCATTATAAATTTGTTTTAGAATAAAGCACAGGTCTCTTTTGTATTTGCTCTAGTAGGGAAATAATAAAGTGATGTGAAACATGTTGGATTATTTTACCCAGTTTTTAACAATGACATACAAAACCGTGGAAAAATCTTAATATTCCCAAAAAATGCATCACTGTTATGAAGTAAATTTTTCTCACACTAATAAATTATGTAATTAATAAGCATGTTTACTAAAATTTAGTAGGTCATTACATTTTCTATAGAGTTAAATGTTTGTGTGAAAAATGTTATAGTAACGAAGGCTATAAAAGTTACTTAGTTCAATAACATTGCAATTAAAACTTAATTTTAGAACTTCTAAGTCAAATAAACTCCGACTTCTGGGAATCTACCTATGTATGGCATTAGACATGAACTATAAAACTACATATTTTTTGTAGCTCTTGAAAATCCCCTTCCTCTGAAAGCCATGTTACATAATGTGAAGTGAACTCTGTAGATGATTTCCCAATCTACCCATACCTAATAGCAAAGCAATGCGAAATGTTTAAAAATATTCAATTTACACAAGAAGACGATTGTAAGGTAGTGAGATTTTTATGAAAGATTAATCTTGCTAAGCATAAGAGCAACTGTCAAAAGGTCTAGATAGAGTATAGTTTTCTTCGCTCTTCGCAATTTAATATAAGATTTTATACAACTTACTGCCAAAACAGGGGGCTCCAAATTCAAATCGATTGGGTTCATAACAATGAACACTTGTTGGTTTTTATGTGTCAATCCATTGGGTTCCCTCAGGGCTGCTTTACAATAGTACTGGACCCAGCCATGTGTGCCCAGAAATGTGGATGGAAGACCCATGGGTAGTCCTAACTTGAAAGGGAAGCTATGGATACCGGGTGATAGGGTTGTTGTACCATGACCTGTTTGAATAGAAAAAAATATATATATATTTAAAATAGAGTATTAATGAGCAAGACAAAATAAGATATGCAGTACTGGCTATATAGTGTATAGTGAGCACTATGTATATAGTGACTTATAGAAATATTGAAAACTTATCCGTGTTCTTTCCTTGGAAAAAGACTGAACAAATTTACTTTAATATCAGGTTCAATTACATATATTATTATTTACAGGATTTAAGAAACCAACACATTTTGTGAGAGCATGGACCCTTATAAAATTCTTTGTATACTAAATCACATAACCTAAATTTTTGTGGTTTCTAGAATAACACCACTCCTTATTCCCAAGGGTGTTCTAAAATATGATGTGATTGCCAGATAAGGGGTAGAAGCACTAGCTGACTTACATTATTTAAGTGTCATCAACTGGCATTTAAGGATAGTAGTGTTAGCTATGAAGCAGTCATGTATTCAGGTTTAAAGGGAGCTAAAGCCATTTTGCAATTGAGGATTCGGCTTCATATCTCAGGGTAGTTAGTATACAAATTTTGATGTCCAGGGACTCCTATGACCACTTAACAACAGGAGGGCTGTGGGCTCATTCAATCCATTGAAGAAACATTAGTAATGGGTTTTTAGCAATAACCAAACCAAACCATTTCATTTATCAAAGAGTCATTTAGTATCTTGACATTTAATGTTTAATAAAAGTAATTATCTCATCAGATTACCTGGTTCTCCCAGCAGTCTCATTCTAAAGTCAATATAGTTTTCTTTATCAAATAGCCTCTCGTGTCTCCCGGAACCCACCCTTACCACACCTTCTCCCACTACATGGAAATGTAGACCTAGAACAAGGGAATTTCATCACAATCATATCTATATTCCTCTGTTCTTAAGATTTAATTCTGTAAAGTGATACATATAATAATATGATGTGAGGCTATTACTATCACAGACAACTGTTAAACAAACACTAGGAGTTGAGAACACCAGGGTCTTATATCAATATCTTCTGAATAATAGCCGAGATGTATTTTTACCATGTACTCTGAAGTTTAGTTTGGATTATGAAGATTGTAATGTAAATGATGTTTAATGTTCTTACCTAATACAGGCGTATCATCCTGCAATTCCATTAACACTTTTCCCGAGAGGAATTGACCAGGAAAATACAGTAAGGACGTATTGTCGAACACTATAAGGAATTTTAGAAGTTTCCGCGGCATTTTCAGTTCTTTTTTATGTTAAGCACTAGTTGTATCAATCGCGAACGCGACCAGTCATCTACCTACCATGGAATCACTAAACATCAAATTAGCATGAATAATTTTGCACTAATGTTTAACTTCGTAAACTTAACTGCAGCTGTTCCTGCTGTGGCTACCAATTAAGTCATTTAGTTGTGATTTAACTCGACGATACATCTTCTATAGGTTGAAAGAATTCGCGTAAGGCCTTGGTACTACGAAAGTGACACCCACGACGATATTATCCTCGTAAGTTTCTCACAGTTGCCATAACTAGGTACATTGTTTAACAAAGTTATGAAATATGCTAATTGAAGGCCAATCAACTATGTGTGGAGAATTTACTTGACTAAATAAATAACAATAATGTGTATAGTGTTGTTTTCGATAAATTCACATGTTATTTGATGTTTAGTCTTCCCTCTAATTCAACTTTTAAAACTTCATACTTGCTAAGTAATAAAAAAAGACAAACTAACAAATCAAGCCCCTGCCCCTGATTGACCAGTCTAAGTTACTGACGTATAGTGACATATATGACATAATAAGTGTTTTTTTTTTAGAGAGATTTTATGACCTGGTAACTAAGACCTTCAAGTCATTTCTTATTTTAATTTATATAGTTATTTTTATGAAAAATGATAATATCGAAAGAAATTAAATGAAATATTAAATGAAATGAAGATGATGAATTTGATACATTAATCAACTGGGATGAAATTAAATGAGATGAGATGATATGGGATAAAATATAATCTCAGTAAAATGGTGGTTATTTACCTACTGAGATTTTTTCAGTGGACTTTTTGGAGGATCCCGAGAAGTTACATCCAGCAATTTTATTTCATTTTCCCACATTTGTGCACTTTCACAGGTATTAAATAGTTAATAAACCACCGTTATAACACATACAAGCCTGAAACTCTAAATAGAAAAAATAAAACAAATCACACAATTTCATTCCTCGCGTTCCCGCCAAAAACTCTCGTAATTATATATTTAGTGCATACTGCATAAATAATAAACTTAATTAAGTACTGCATACATTATGTAATACACTTAATATATTTAGTGTACCTATTATCTATGGTTGTCTAGTCTGTATGGGCTTAGATCTTCTTGCCTTTTCTAATAAGGATAAATTGTACCAAAAAAATATCTATGGTTGTGACTGTTTGTTTAGATTGTCGAAAATCTTGAATCTTTTAAAAATCCTACAGTTAATTTTGATAATACTACTACATATCCAGAATTAATATAAATCAAAATGCCGAGTGAAATGATAACGTTACAATTAGGTCAGTGCGGAAACCAAAGTGAGTATGTAATAGAAGAACAATGTTTCGGTTAATTAAAATTAATTGTTCGTAAAGTAAACCTACCAATTTGTTATATACTTTAGTTGGCTTCGAATTTTGGAAACAGTTGTGTATTGAGCACGGAATATCGCCTGAAGGCATATTAGAAGAGTTTGCATCGGCGGGATCTGATCGTAAAGATGTGTTTTTCTATCAAGCTGATGATGATCACTACATACCACGAGCAGTTCTGCTGGATTTGGAGCCGCGTGTTATACACACGATTATGAATTCACCCTATGCTAAAGTTAGTACTAATATCTAATCTTTTTTGTCTAATTATATTATTATATATATTAAGCTATCTAACTATTAAGTGGACAGCTTAATTTGAAGTAGTAGTGGCCTAAAGGAAAAGCCGGCCCGGGTACTCGAATCTAGCGATGTGAATATACTTACCTAACATGACATATGCTGCATGTTTCATATGGTGCATGGGTGAGCAAACTTATGGCCATCCTAGTGTAAAGTGGCTACTGGAGCAATAGCCACTACAATGTGAAGGCTAACACCCTTTTTGAGATGATGATGTCTCAATTGTTTGTATACAGCTGTTGCTTAGCAGTAAAAATAGACAGGATGGTGTTACCGGTTGAACAAAAAAGAAATACAAAACATTATATTGGTATGATCAATCATCAATTAATGTAATATTATGACTATGATTAATATAAATTCAATATTGCTTTAGTTGTACAATCCTGAGAATGTGTATCTATCTAAACATGGTGGGGGTGCAGGGAACAACTGGGCTTCAGGATATGCTCAGGGGGAGAAATTGAATGAGGAAGTATTTGATATAATCAACAGAGAGGCTGATGGGAGTGATAACCTTGAGGTAAGGCACAGGAAGTACAAGTGAATTTCTGAAATGTTTTATTATATTTAAAAATATTAAATAGTTAAAAATATTCAGAATGAATGATATCCATACAGTGTGTCTCTAAATGAGTATTAAATCATTAAATTTATAAGTATCTGATGTATCAATTCTACTATTAAATCAACATGACTAGTAATTTAAATTATAATATTAATTTTTTTTATAAATCAGAATGGAAGTGGAAAAATTTCTTAATGTTTCTTGTATGCTTACTTGGCCTAATGTCTGAGTTCTTGGTATTTTTATTTAAGGCTCAAGAACTCAGAGATTCATTTGTAAAATGTTATAAAGAAGAGTTTTCTATATTGTTAGATTTAAAAGTTTTAGTAAATGTTTTGAGATAAAATTAAACAGTGTTTTCCTCTCTACAGGGCTTTGTTTTATGTCACTCAATAGCAGGAGGTACAGGTTCAGGGATGGGCTCATATATACTGGAACACCTGTCTGATAGGTTTCCTAAGAAACTTGTTCAGACATACAGTGTCTTCCCAAACTTAGATGAAATAAGGTATGTAGTAATTACATTCAAAAAATTACATAGATTAAATCTATAATGCCAAAAAGGCAAGATACATATTTGATGTCTCAGTGGTTGAATTTACTTTTACCAAGAATTTTACCTTATTTCTTTATCTTTGTCCATAAATGTAAATTCAGATACATTCTAGGTACATGCTTTTAGATAGATTACTAGATATATTGTCATCAATTAGATTGAAAATGTATTATGGGTGTTAATATTTATTTAGCCTGTCTACTGTACAAATACAATGTCAATTATATGAATAACTTGAGCTTAGGGAATGTGGGAATTATAAAATCAAGTGCAGAGACTATGAATGCATGAAAATGTTTGTAAGTCATGGAGGTAGTGTTGCATAGCATATCTGCAGAATGTAATTTTCAGATACTTTTATCCCAATTTCTAAAAAATTAACCAATTATGTGTATAATGTACATTATGGTATTAATAATAATAATAAGGACGATTTCCATGAAATATTTTATGCATTAATTGAATGCCATATATTTCAGTGATGTCGTAGTTCAGCCATACAACTCTTTGTTAACTTTGAAACGTCTCACTGAGAGTGCAGACTGCGTGATGGTTCTGGATAATACAGCATTGAATCGCATCGCCAGTGACCGCCTCCACATACAGAACCCATCATTTGCACAGATCAACACGCTTGTGTCTACTATTATGAGTGCAAGCACTGCTACCTTGAGGTAATTTCCCCTCTCTGTACATTTATGACTTTTATATAATTAGCCGGCTTTATTTACATATTCAAAAGTTACATTAAAATGTTAATAAATTAAATACTATTTGTTGTATTGGTACATTACAAGTATTAATTTTTTTCACAAGTTTAAATGTACTTTTTGTTTAAGGTCTTCTTCATAATCTTTTTCATAAGATCCTCGTCGTGCAGTGCTTGGTATTGTCCATTGTTTACATGTGTACTTGTAGTCTTGTAGACCAATGACTTGAGCCTCAGCCCATGTCTCAAGGTGGGTGGTGGCATTCACGATGTCTTTGGCTTCTGTTACTGTTTTACATAACCTTGAGCTCGTTCACCCATACAAGCAGTTAAAGAAGAATATTTTTATTTGTTTTATAAAAAGAATGTTTATACTAGTTGATGAAGACGACATCAAAGTTTTGTTATTCCTGCAGGTATCCGTCATACATGAACAATGACCTGATCAGTCTGGTGGCGCCGTTGATTCCTACCCCTCGACTGCACTTCCTCATGACTGGGTACACGCCCCTCTCTGCTGATCACGAACAAACCGCAGTGAGTTTTGCCAATAGTAATTCGCATTTTTAAATCCAGTTGTAGTATAAAATTGGAAAAGACTTAGATGGAAAGTTTGAAAGAGGATATGCAAGAGAAGAGTGCGATTGCAAAGATTATGTATGATGGAAAAAGAAGACACGCAGCGCCGACCCACGTGGTGGGATGAGGGCAAGGAAAACAAAGAAACGTTATTGGAACCCTGAATCAGTTGTAGTATAAATTCTGAACATAAACATTTCAACTGAAGTTAATTCCTGATCAAAGTGGATCATCCTATCTGCCAGAAATCACGTAGAACAATGTCGTGCCGAATATTAATTTCAAGTGTCGAAACCAGAGAAATAGACAACTGAATGTGTGTGTTAGGAAATTAACACCGGAACGCTCGTGAATTCTGGTTTGTTGCTTGCAGGCTCCGAAAATTCGCAAAACGACAGTACTAGACGTGATGCAGCGGCTGTTGCAGCCCAAGAACATGATGGTGTCGCTCAGTCCGGACAGGGCCAACCAACACTGCTACATATCTATATTGAACATTATACAGGTGAGTCGAACTAAACATCGGCTACTAGGGTATGTATAGTGTCAAATCGACGAATGACGTCTCAATCGTCCGCAACCACGAGCGGCTTCATTTCGCGTTTATTATTTTAATTATATGTGTGCTTAGTGCGAGTGTTTTAACGTTCTCGATACCGTAAAAGTTAACTCAAATTTGATAAACAGTTGAAACAGCGCCCCTAGCGGCAAACCTAGGGAAACATTCCAACTGCATACAAATTTGAGTTAACTTTTCTGTCTCAAGCCAGGCGACGACAGTAGTTTTGTGATAAAATAATTCACACACAATAAAATAATAGAATAGAATCAGATGTCTAATAGCAGATTACACAATATTGTTGTGCCGTGAGTTTCTCTTTGAATCATACCTGGTATGCAGTCCCAGCAAATTGGTTTATATTGAGGCAACTGGAGGTGATCTTCGTGTTGATACTGTAGTGTGTAAACACTCAAGTATGTATACAGCCTTATTTAAAGTGCTTCTTCAGCACCACCGTCTTANATAATAGAATAGAATCAGATGTCTAATAGCAGATTACACAATATTGTTGTGCCGTGAGTTTCTCTTTGAATCATACCTGGTATGCAGTCCCAGCAAATTGGTTTATATTGAGGCAACTGGAGGTGATCTTCGTGTTGATACTGTAGTGTGTAAACACTCAAGTATGTATACAGCCTTATTTAAAGTGCTTCTTCAGCACCACCGTCTTACTGTCTTATGGCACAATAAACCGGACCTTCAAACTGAACGGACGTATTATTTACTCTCTTCTAATCTATCGTGACCAGTGTGCTTAGTGCAAGTTTTTTAACGTTCTCGATAACGTAACAGTTATCTCATATTTGTATGGAATGAGATCGTTTGCGTACGTTTGCCGCTAGGGGCGCTGTTCCAACTGCATACAAAATTGAGTTAACTTTTACGCTATCGAGAACGTTAAGAAACTCGCAATAAGCACACTGACCACACCACAATACATTATATAAGGTGTATAAAGTTCAGCACTGACGTGGTTGCAGGGCGAGGTGGAGCCGTCGCAGGTGCACAAGTCGCTGCAGCGCATCCGCGAGCGGCGCCTGGCCGCCTTCATCCCGTGGGGGCCGGCGTCCGTGCAGGTGGCGCTCTCGCGGCGCTCGCCCCACGTCACGGCCGCGCACAAGGTGTCGGGCCTGCTGCTCGCCAACCACACCAACATCTCCTCGGTCGGTGCACTTCCTCTACTATCGACCCACATTGCCCACATCTAGCATTCTAGTGGGATGTCATGTTCTGCAGTAGGGTAGATACCACCGCTCCGCCTATTTCTGCCGCTAAGCAGTAATGTGTTTCGGTTTGAAGGGCGAGACGGCCATTGTACTGTTAAAAGTGAGACCTTAAAACTCATCTCTAAAGGTGGGTGGCGGCATTTACGTTGCAGATGTCTATGGGCCACTTAACATCAAGTGTTAGATCCTGGTTGCTAATTTTGGTTTACCAGAGTTGGTAAACCGCGCTGTTTTCACTCGACGCTAATTGTAACGTTTTAAATATTGTAACAATTTAATATTATCAACATTCTACCGACCGCAGGAGCACACAGTGAGCACATTTTGCGTTTCATGTTAAATAGTAATAAAGTAAAACTAGTTGTAGTTGTGATCTCAAATCCTCAGACTGCAGTTTCACGAACGCGCCTTCACATCTATACTAATATATAAATCTACAGTGGTTTTTACGGATGTTCCGTTTTAACTACTGAACCGTGCATCCGATCGACTTGAAACATGGTATCCATGTAGAAAATACATGTACTTAATGGATAGGCTAATATTTATATGAGTGTTGGACTCCCTAATAATAATGACAATAAATAATAATGTTAATTTTAAATGCCCAGCGAAGCGGCCGAGTACGGCTAGTTCATACATATAATTAAATGAGTGATTGCAGCTGTTCGATCGATGTCTGCAACAATTCGACAAGTTGCGCAAGCGTGAAGCGTTCCTGGAGGTGTTCCGCAAGGAGCCCATGTTCCGCGAGTCGCTGGACGAGCTGGACGCGTCGCGCGGCGTGGTGGACGAGCTGGTGCACGAGTACCGCGCCGCCGCCACGCCCGACTACGTGCACTGGAACCCAGGTCCGCGTCCCCACCGCCACACACCTAACCAGACCTAACAAAGATAAATAGCGGTAGGCAGCGGCTTGGCTCTGTCCCTGGTATTGCTAAAATCCTTGGGCGACGGTAACCATTCACCATCACGTGGGCCGTGTGCTCGTCTGCCTACAAGGGCAATAAAAAAAAAGACTCAAATCTTGGTAATTCCAATGAGTAACAACAGTTTCGCAGCTTGATCGTTAAGGGACTCTTTAAGGGTCCGTAAGCTGGTTTCACTACCACCACAGATGCTCGGTTGATCTGATCCCGGTGGGGTCAATAAATAACATGCGTACAATGGAAGTAAAAGCTTGAAACTCCGTACTGTATCTCCACCGCAATAAAGGACCTTCGTTACAACACGAACAGGCGGATTTTTCACTGATGTTTTGTGTTAATTCTAATCATACTATTCATTTTTGTAATATACCATGCTCCCTTTGCCCTTTTTTTTTTCATTACAATGAAAAACTATTCTTAGAAAAATCTTTAAATACCTAGTTCCGTAATTTTGAATTAGTTTTATTTTAACAATTATCGAATTATTGAATATCGTAGCAATCAACAATAGCGTTGAACAATGATTGATGTGCGCGACCTCTGACAGTGTTAAACTCGACTCGTATATATGTACACATGGTCTGCCTCGTGGCTACGCGTCTTACAGTAGAGGAGTGCATGACCGTACTGTGTGTACTATTACCCCGTTACACACATGAATGAGAAACCGTATATTTCTTTTTTTACAGAGAGCAGCCAAATATAACACATACAGGCGACGGAATGTTGGATTCATATCACGAAGCTCATCACCAGCAGAGTTTAAAGAAGAATGCCAAAGATGAGTCGTCAAATCTATAATTCTAAGACGTTGACAATTTAATTTATAACCAAGTGCCATTATGTAATCTCATTTATACCCTGGCCGCCGCTGCCGTGACGCCTTGTTCAAATAAAACGAGCTTTTTTTTTACCCAAGATCTGTTTTATTTTCAATAATCACTAATTATTCAACATCTTAATCTTTACACGATCACCTTCGTATTTCACATTATGTATTTCGCGCATTATGTATGCGATTCTCTGATGCAACTGACATTATGAGTATCTTAAATAACAAAGGAAAGACTTTCCAAGGTATATTTTAAATTTACAATTAACAGTATGCATCTCATCAGAGAGCAGTGAATCAATACATCTCATAAACCTTCATTATGGCATTTTTATATACATGGACTGAAAATAATTTTCAGTTATTTCACATGCTTTCACATTCCAATTTATGTACTAAATGTTTGATAAAATGACATGTTATAGCATAATGTTACAGTAAATCTTGTGATATAATAAAAACAAATATAATATGTTCGTAGTGCATTCAGTGATGGCCAAGCTGCAAAAAAACTAATCGTAATGTTAATCATTATATATATTCAAATTTTGAATGATTTTAAAATATTAACATTACAAAGGACAGTTAGTTATTCAGAATATACATACAAAAATAGCTATCTAAGTAATAATCAGGCTAGTGCTATTGTAACATTAGCTGAACTTACACTACTAATTTGAAAGAAGTAATTATATCCTTAATGTAACGATCACACTCATACATATTAATAGATAACATAAGGACCAAAGCTGGAAAACTAATAATGTTCACTATCATAGCTGAGAACAGTTTTAATTTTGCAGAATGAAGCATATACACTTGTTATGTCACTAAATTCATTTTTCATGACAAGAACTAAGCCATAGTGGATATCCATACACACAGTGAGAGCCTAAAGTAAGAAACCCTGCTTCGGCTGACTTAATGGTCTTACTTTGATACTAATGCAATATCATGGTTAAATATTATTCATTGCTGTAGTGTTCAGGCATCATTGGCACTACCACTTAACTTCGTTTTTGAGAATGAGTGCTTATGATTCAAATGCTAAAATCATCAGATTATTTATAATCAATAACTAACTCATTCTCACAAACTATATTAACTGTACAGATTCTAATGGACACATTTCTAAAGAAAATAAATGAAATTCTAATTTAATTAAACTGATCCCAATCACAAATTTGAATTTTTATGCAATCAGTACCAAAGAACACATCACACTTTAAATAGGACATTATTTAGGTCCTATTAAATAGTGGATAAAAAAAGTATGATTACTTCAAGGTTTTGAATTATTTTAGAAATGTGTCTGTGTTTTATTCTTAATGAGATGATAAAATGAAAATAGACTACACTATACATTTCAGTATGTAAATAGTGAATAAATGTTTTTTATGATGTGTTCTTCAATATTAACTTTTTGCAATTGTAATGTGGATTCATAGTGATACAAGGCTAGGATGTCTGACTTGGTGTAGTGTATTTTGGCTGAATGATGGAAGTCTTCCTTAATGGTACGGTTTCAGGAGTAGGGATAGCATCACCAGTAGGCAACTTTGCTGGTGCAGCTGGAGCCTTAAATGGTGCAGCTAAGTTGCCTGGTCTCTGCTTTGCCATTTGATAGTCGCCAGAATCAAAGAATTTTTGCTGAAATTTGAAAAAGCGTTTAGAAAAAATGAACTATAACTAAAAAGTTAACTAACACTAAAAGTTTCTCAGTGTTAATAAATAGTTAAATACATACTCCCTTGGCTAGTCTTTTTTGCAGAAATGCAGAATGACCACTGGGCCCTCTACCCAGCATCGCATTAGGGAATTTCGCTTTTAATTTTGCCTCTTCCAGTTTTTCCAGTTCTTTTGGCTGAAATAAAAAAATATTGCAATTATTAAAATTTATTGACAAAAAATAAACAATTATGGTCAATTAATTTAACAGTAAAACAGTTCAATTACAAAACTTTTTTACAAAAATTTATATTGTATAAAATATTTGTTCCTAAGAAGTTTGTTTAAGAATTTTTGCATAAGAAAGCTGAGAAAGGAAAAAAAAATTAAGAAACATTTGACACACCTATTACTACTATGAAGATGACGACTATGAAGTCGTCGTGGTCTAAATTAATAAAACGTTCGGTGCATTTGTATCTTTCGATGCATCGGTGTTCGAATCCCACTTGCGGGTACCAATTTTTCTAATGAAATACGTACTTAGCAAATGTTCACGATTGACTTCCACGGTGAAGGAACAATAACATCGTGTAATAAAAATAAGGCCATTAAGCAGGCCGAATGCAGGCAACATTGGAGGAAGCTAGTGCAAAAACTGGACTAAGGTGGTCGCGACCCTCAGTAATGAGGAAGCGACAAAGAAGAAGAACAATAAAAATCAAACCCGCAAAGTGATAATTTGAGTAGTTACTGGTGGTAGCCAGTTGTAGGTGTCTATGGGCTCCAGTAACCACTTAACATCAGGTGAGCTGTGAGCTCGTCCACCCTTCGAAGCAACAAAAAAAAATTGTAGACACAGTTATACCAGTAAACAATTATTTTTATTAATGCTTAGGCGGGTGGACAAGCTCACTGGCACCTGGCACTGGTGTCAAGTGATTCCATGATTTTGAGTATGTATTCAGAAAGTTACTGATACTGTTGATTCTTTCTTAAATATGGCAGAGCATTTATGATGTATCGGATATCATATTTGATGCTGCTAACCAGAATCTGATCAAATTAAAATTTATCAGGTTTGATAAGCATGAATTATGTAAATAAAGTATGTTTAATACAGATTTATCATAATTTCTGATCCAATGACCTTATGAGGCAAAAAATTCGTCATTTCGCATTAAAAGTGTACAATTTCCGAAAAAAAAATTTGGAATTGAGTTAATATGCGGAATCATTTGGTATCACCAGTATTTTTCTCATAAATACTGTCAAAAGAGCGTAGTTTAGTTTTAGTTTTTTTTTTAGTTTACCTATATTTTGCCTAATAGTCAATATATATCCAATAATGGTACCATTATCATTATCTTACTTTAAAAGACAGATAATGTAATTGGTAAAAACTAAAAAATAAATGTTGCAAAGATGATTAATATTAAAAAATCATATGTTAAACCTTTAAAATGCTCTCCCGTAAAATTTAGTAAGCTTTGAGATTATACAGTTTTCATGCGAGAAAAGGAATAATTGTTCTCCTGGTTAATTGTTTGGTTGTGTAGATATTAGATAAGGTGTGTTTAATATTCTTTGGTTTTCACAAGTTGTATACATAACATTTTTTACTACCTAGGACCTCTTGTGAGTCCGCACGGGTACGTACCACCGCCCTGCCTATTTCTGCCGTGAAGCAGTAATGCGTTTCGGTTTGAAGGGTGGGGCAGCCGTTGTGACTAAACTGAGATCTTAGAACTATATCTCAAGGTATGTGGCGCATTTACGTTGTAGATGTATATGGGCTCCAGTAACCACTTAACACCAGGTGGGCTGTGAGCTCGTCCACACATCTAAGCAATAAAAAAAAAATATAATTACACTACTTTAATGGTTAATTGTTACAATCAATTGATACATTGTTATAGTATTATCAATAAGAACCAATTTACACACATGGATTGTTGGAGTTTGAATATAAATGTAATGGCAGGCAACACTTGACACATGATTACAGATTTCGAATATTAGAATTATTTTTAATGTTTAAAAAACAGATGATTGTGTTCTCATAAGAAAGTCATAGGACTTCTCATCTAGACACGGCAAGAGAAACATGTAATAGTTTTATAAAAAATATAAAGATAATAATTGTATAATGGTGTAAAAGTGTTCAAGCTATCTGCAATATAATTATAATGAAGCAGTGTGTTTTTAAATAGCCCCTCATCAACCTACAGAACCCAATCCCCTCAAATGTAACCATCCAACATGGATTATTATTATTATTGATTTACTGTTTTGTTTGCAAGGTTATTTGTTCAGTGTAATAATATACAAACAAACAAGTATCTAAGGATAATTTTTTGATGAACTGTCTTTCTAGGTATAATTAATTTACAGTATTGCAAAGTATTTTTAAATCAGCTATCATTTTTTATTCAAAAATAGTTTATTACGCCTGGAAATTAGGTTTAAGTTTCAAGAACATTCTACGATTTTATCTACTTACATCTTTTGGTGGATCATTCTGGTCTGGTGAGTCACTCATGTTGCTTTCTAAAAATAAGTTTAATTAAAATATTAAGAATGTAGCTTATACATTTTAAAACATTGGTTTATTTTAACAACTTCTCTGATGATGTGACAAGATATCATACAAATAAATCTATAGATTTCAATATTTTACGACTAAGTCTAAATACATTTACACTCTAGACACTCTTTAGGCTTCCATGCGCTTGTGAACGATTATGGTAATCTTTTTAATAATTATTATTTCAAACAAATTAAAAAAAACAGGTATGTAAAGGCACGTTTGAAGGCCTACCTTTATGTATTTATTGACAGGCCTATTAACTTCAAAAATTGCCACAAAACCACTTGTTCTTCAAAGTTAGTAGAGAATAAAGAAATCCCGAATTAGTATCGGTATAGTACTATAGAATTCCTATGCTCAGATTTTCACGATTTTAGTTTGGATCGCCTCTTTTCCTGTGTTTCATTCTCTTCAACAAAATTTAACTGACAAAAATGGCGTTTATTGTTTTTTAGTTTTGATTTTTCTTAGGAGCAAATTTTCACAATTTTTGAGCAAAGGAATCTTTTGCTTGGGTTTGCTTGTTTATTCTATATTGGTAAAGCATTGTTATTATTTTTCTTTGCTTGATTTTAAATTTGTTTTGCTAGAACGTAAATTTATGAAAGTAGAGTTTTTATGGATGAAAGTAAATTTGATAAGTAATAAAAGTGATCAACTTGCAAGATAATTAAATTAGTCAGTAGTAATCAGCTGTAACAGCATGTCGCCCTTTGTCATTGTCATAGATTAAACACTTGTCATTGTCATTTGTCATTTACTAAGTTTGACTCGGTTAAAAAATATATGTTTCTCTCACTGCTCACTCATTGTTTTCTCGTTTAAAGTAATGAAATGGTAACCTACATAATCTAAGTTCATGATTTAATATTAACTATGGAAGTAGACACAAATGAAGAAAATGATGGTACCATTATTAGTATTCATATGCGTAACTGGTTTTGTCTCGAAAATTTGAAAATAAAGTTTAACAGAAACGTAAATTTTATCGTTGGTCGTAACGGATGTGGAAAAAGTGCTATTCTATCGGCATTAGTGATTGGCTTGGGCAGCAGAGCTGATATAACTTACAGAGGAAATAATGTGCAATGTGAGTATTTTATTGAAACGTTAACTAAGAACTTGAAAGTCTTCGCGCCATTTATGACAACATTGGTCATTTAAGACCGAATTAAAATTAACATGTTAAATATGTAACGCATAATGAAATTGCTTTAAATTTCTTTTACTTACAATTAAAACTTGATGTATCCAATGCTATATACAATTTCAAAGGCTTAAAAATTGAATTACAAGCCAAAATTTCAATTAGAGACCAACAATTACAACCAACATTTATATGTGCATTAGGTAGGTACTATGTTTTACAAGTAACCTATAATTTATATGATTGACAATACATCTTTAAAATTAGTAAATATGGTTTAAATTTGTGTAAATTAATTATAATTCAGAAATTCCAAATGTTTTATAGTTTTATGTTCAGAATTGCGTGAGTTTTGAAAATAAATAATAAAAGCTTTAATCAAATCCACAACTAAGTAAAAACTGGAGAAAACATATTTCTCTATTTCAGCTTTAATCAGGCGTGGAGCAAATTCAGCAACCATTGAGATTCAACTAAGAAACAGTAGTTCTAGAGCATACAAACGTCACATTTATGGCGATCACATTACAATAATCAGAGAAATCAATGCAAGTGGTTCGCATTATAAAATTAAAGCTGCGTCAGGTATGTACTTATAATATTTCTATAATCTATTAAAGTCAAAATTAATTATTGTACTTAAATTTATCTTGCAGCATTATTTAAAACAGAATAGAAGTATTGTAAAAATCTGATTTGCAATGATATTTAGAAAACAAGCTTTTATACAAGTTTCAACCAAATACCGCTCACTTTGTGAAATATCTTCCCTTTTTTGTTTATTGCACAGATACTCATCTCATCATTGTATTATCATCTCATAGCCTACTTTGTGTTAAGTGCTTACTGCACTCCATAGACAGACATAGATATTCTTATGTGAATTCCACCACTTCATCACGATGCAACGTAAAAAATGTAATGAATGTATGCCCATCTTTGTTTCCTGCATCTATTTGTTACTAAGTATCAATATGGTGAAAATATTTCTTGTTAAGTAGAGTGTCTTTTTTTAAAGTCCAATCTTATTACTATCAATTATCTGTCGCACTGAATGTCACACACCGGGTTGATTTTGCTCTGATATATCTCTGTCAAGGGTAGGATAGAGTTAGTTGTCATGCCCTAAAGGATAAGACAATCGATGCACTCATATAAATCAATCTCACTGTTTGTCAAATCCCACAGTCAAGTACCAAATTTTGTAATAAAATTGGACTTATTTGCATTAGCAGGCTAACATGATGAAGAAAAAATATTATAGTAAAACCTGCAAAAATATAATTTAATTAGTTACTGGTGGTACGGCATCTTGTTATCTCACATAGGTAGTAGGAGTGGGTAATATCGGTTTTTCCGCGTATCGAATCGTATCTATATATTGAGGATCAATATCGGATATTGAATCTATATATTTTCTGAATCTATATATTAATGGATGCTAGTAGATTTTCTCGATTCATGATATTTGAGATTTGAAACGATACGCTGATATAATATCGTAGTAGATATAGATTTAAGTCAACGTTATACGGTTGGTTTTCTGATATCAATTTATAATATGATCTTAAAGTAATAAAAAGAACATGAAAATAAAAATATCAAAAAAACTTTCCTTCATGCTTTTACTAGGCTTAGGACTGGCTACATTATTTTCAGTTTTTAGTATTTTGTGTCTTAATTTAAAATTACAAAATATACCAAAAGAGTGTAGATTTCAAAAGTTTAATACAAACACAAGGAATAAACTCAATTATTTCGATTCAACTAAAAATAGAAAAATGTGTACTTTAAAAATCAAACACAAAAAACTTTTAAGTCTTATAAACACTTGTCCAAAAATTCTAGTTCAAGGTCAAAGCGCGTGAAATTAAATTCAACGATGCAAATAGGCTATACTGCATTCAAGTTAGGGTCGAAAGTTGAAACTTCTTTCCTTAATTGTATCCTGCTGATACGCTAAGAATAATCTACAGACATATGGACTTAAATATAAGGTTTACAATTGTATGGATAATGCCTGTTTCTGTTTCATTCATCACATGATATCCCTATCGTGCGCTCACTCACTCTGGCCGATTCGATACGAACCAAACGAATATTGCTGATATTCACGAATCGGTACGATATGCCGATGCGCATCACATCGAGCAATATCGTGTATCGGCTGATATCGAAATATAGATTTCGATTCACGAATCGGTACGATATGGCGATGCGCATCACATCGAGCAATATCGTGTATCGGCTGATATCGATATATAGATTTCGTGCGGGGCGATATCGGATTCAACGATATTGCTGCGATATATAGATATTGAATCTATATACGATTTATATCACCCACTCCTAATAGGTAGGTAATTCATAAAAGATACAAATAGTACAAATAATCAAAGTGTAGAAAATATAAATTAAAAGAGATATACATATTTGTTACAAAACTAAGTATCATATAATCAAAAAGTAAATATTTTAAATTTAACAGTCAAACAAACTTACTCTTGTGCCATGAGTACTGGAAATACCCATACATTCAGAACTCTAATACAATAAAGAAGCCAACTTTGCCAACTTAAACTATGCCTATAATTTAATATATCTGTTTGCAGTTTTTTGTATACTTTAGGAATCAGATATTGATATATTTAAATATTTGTATACATAATTATGGATATTAAACAAATCTGGTCCCCATAAGAATGTAAATGTTTCTAAATTGGGAATCTAATCTATGAAACTTGGCCCAGCAATCAGGGCCATTAACCCTTAACATTCTAACTTCATAAAAATTCACTTTTCACATACTTGATCCCATTTTTATAAATATTTTACAGGTGAAATAATATCAACTAGGTTAAAAGAAGTTGAAGCAATAAAACATGCTCTTGGAATACAAGTTGATAATCCCATTTCGGTGCTTAATCAAGATGATGCTAGGAGTTTCCTTGGTAAAGGACCTGAGAAGATGTATGCCCTGTTCCGGAAAGCCACAAATTTGGACCAGGCAGAAGATAAATATAAAGAAACATTGAAAACATGTGATGAGGCAATTGAACATTTAAAAATGAAAGAGCAAGTAAGTAAGTTTGAAAATATTTTAATTCTAGATGTTAGTCCTAAATTCTTGCTTGGTACTTTTTTTTTAGTAGCATCTCCCACCAGATTTACTGAGACTAGGCTCAGACAAAGTCATGTATGATTCTCATGTACTTTGATGGTGGTTTAGCACCATCTTGCAATTGTGATGTCCACTTCCAGGAAGAGTGAGAGAGAGTTTGATTAGTAGACTTGACCTAAAAAAAATATGAAAAACTAACAGATTGAGTTTGTTAAAAACAAATTGTCTATTGCACTGATTTTACGATTAGACTTAAAAACAAAAACCGCTCATTATGTGTAAATATTCTACATTATTATGTAAATGCTAACTTTGACTTGTCACAATAATTCACTGCTAGAATTTAGCGGAAACCCAGATGAACTTGTTCATTAGTAATTCACACGATTTTTTGCTACAATAACCTCAACTACAGGGATATTCTCTAGATTTGAAAAACTAATGTTAAATAACAAAAACTATTCTTGGAGTATTTATGACTTTTCTTTTGTAAATCATTAGGAAGTGGCCGCCGGTACACTGCTTAACTGATCATTAAAACGATTATTAGCGATTTTGAACACAGTTGCTCAAACCAATTCTATTTTGTAATTTTTGTCAGGCTTCGAAAGAGTTGGAAAAAGAATATCATAGTCTAAGGGCGAGCTATGATCAGATGAGGTCATACGAAGAATTTGAGCAGCAAATTCAGCAATTACAAAATGAATACTACTGGAGAGAAGTGGTTGAGGTTGAGACAGAAGCACATGATGCCGAGACACAGTACAATACTGTTTGTAAGAAGATCACTGAGCTCACACAGAAGGGTCAAGACATTGAACAAATACATAGAACAGGATTGAGTGCTCTTGAGTATGTTATTCATTATTTTTCTAATTGTAAAAATATTTCGTTGGAATAGTTCTCGGTTACAATTTAAATTATACTTTTTGGTTTATCAACTGTAGAGCCTAAAGTAGCACATGTCTCAATAACTATGTCTCACATGTTTTAAAAACTATTCAATATATCTTCCATAAACTTATTTTTCATTGAACTTAAATTGTTCCAGAATCTTAAGTACTATTTTCGAAATTTTTAAAACATGGTATTACCATAGACATTACATAACTCCCTTATCACATTTTTTTTTTAATTGCCTTTGTAGGTAGACGAGCATACGGCCCACCTGATAGTAAGTGGTCACCGTTGCTCATGGACGTCAGCAATGCCGGGGGCAGAGCCAAGCCGCTGCCTACCATTAATAAAATAAAATAGACTCGACGAAACTATATAGTGTCTACTTTTTTCCTTTGGATTTGGTTTAGCTTAGCACCTGGAGTAGATTAGTCACCCGAGCGTATAGACATTCCAAACTTCAATGTTGCGACCTACTTTGAGACGGCCTTAAAGTGTAAATTGTAAAGAAAGATTCAATGAGTTCGCTCGGGTAGGTACCACCACCCTGCCTATTTCTGCCCTGAAGCAGTATTGCGTTTCGGTATGATGGGTGGCGTAGACGTTGCACTTTAGTATAGAGACTTATGTTTCAAGGTGCGTGGCGGCATTTCCGTTGTTTATATCTATGGGCTTCGGTAATCTTATCACTTAACATCAAGTGGGCCATGAACTTGTCTATTCATTTAAATAGTAATAAAAAGTAAAAAAAGGCTACGTAAAAAAAGTTCACAGATATCATAACGTCAATAATTGCATTTGGACTACTGAAGTGGCATTTCTCTCCTCCAGGGAAACAGGCTGCATCATGACGCGCTCCGCTGCGACCTCCGTTACCGGCGCCATCAATGATAAATAGTACTTTTGCCCAAAACATGTCATTACGGATCCTCCCGATCCATTAACGATGGTTTTAGGTACCACAAGCACCGTTTACCGTCCTCGCCGAACCCGTCGCTTGCCACGAAGGGCTCGACGAGTGAATTAACCCACAGACACAGCCCACTGAGTTTCTCGCCGGATCTTCTCAGTGGGTCGCGTTTCCGATCCAGTGGTAGATTCTGCGAAGCACTGCTCTTGCTAGGGTCAGTGCTAGCATCACTCCGGTTTGAGCCCCGTGAGCTCACCTACTAGTTAAGGTTACGCTGTAATTAAGGCTATCAGCTTAGGTAGGAAAAATTAAAAAGTACTTTTTTACAGAGTCTTAAAGAGAGAGCGAGATGAAAAATCGTTACAAAAGAATGCTTTACAACAAGATGTGTCGACGTACGAATCTCAAGCCCGAGAAGCACAGAGTTCGTTGAGAACGGTGCAACAAACCGTTCAGAAATACCAGGACAGGTTCGACAGAGAACAGAAGAAAGTCTTAGATTTGGAGAGGGAGATAGGGAATATACAGTAAGTCATAATTTCGGTTTTCTTTTACTAAATTTGTAGTTTAATGCCTTAATTCTATATTTTGCATTGAGTAAAAAAATATATCGATCGGTGAAAGGCTATTTGGTTTAAGCGACATTTCGCTTTATACTCGACATGTATCTTGGTAATTAAAGGTCCCTTTTATTTAGTACTAGCTGTACCCGTCCGCTTCGCTGGGCAGTTAAAATTAACATTATTATTTCTCACCCCCACAAAGATTCTCATCATTAACGCCCCCGCAACTGGTGTAGGGAGTCCAACACTCATATAAATATTAGCCTATCCATTAAGTACATGTATTTTCTACATGGATACCAAGTTTCAAGTCAATCGGATGCATGGTTCAGTAGTTATAACGGAACATCCGTAAAAACCACTGTAGATTTATATATTAGTATAGATTAGCATTAAAAATTCGATGTTTTTAATTGAACTTCAACTAAGTTTACTCTATTGAAATAGCTGAAGAAGTTTTTTGTTATGATATTTTTTCCGAATTTTAAACTTTAAATGGTTCTCCTGAAAAGTTGCAAAAATGTCGCTTAAACCAAATAGGCTTTCACCCCTCGATATAGTTATTTGCCTTTAGCTCTTTTGTTTTGTTTTAAGAGAGTATGTACTAGGAAGTTGTCACAGTGTTTTCCGAGCGCTATGACATGTCCTTCTTCAAATGAGGCTTGTGGATAGTATTAAGCGGTAGGAAGCAGCTCGGCTCTGCCCCTGGCATTCCTGAGGTCCATGGGCGACGATAACCACTCACCATCAGGTGGGCCGTATGCTCGTCTGCCTACATGGGCAATAAAAAAAAATCAAAATCGCCATTAACAGCGTTTGTGTGTGAAGATCAGGTGCGCAGCGGAACGAGCGCGCACGGCTGACGTCACGCGCGGCGGCGGCCCGCAGCGCGGCGGAGGCGGCGCGCGCCCGCGAGCGCACGGCGCAGCACGACGCGGCGCAGGCGCGCGGACACGCCGCACACACACGCGCGCGCGCTGACGACGCGGCTGCCGCGCTGCGGGCGCATCGCCACTCGCTTAGTACGCATTGCACGCTTACGAAATAGTTAGACCTTTATCTCTTTTTGATGTGAAACAAATTATTTTTTCGTAATATTTTATTTTACCATTATGACATATTTAGTTCCTATCATAATCTGTTATTTTCTGCATATTACTTTTACAAAATAATATCGATCGTTCACATCTGCCAGGCGTCCCGTGACGGGTCACATTTTTTTGGAGTTTACTCCTTTAGAATCGATTTACATATATAGGCCCGGGGTATGAAAATTATGGGGACCAAAATCGTACTAGCATGTCACACGAAATGCGTTATGCGCCTGATTGCGCATGTCACACGAAATGCGTATCGCAGGTGACGCCGGGCTGCTGCGCCGGCAGTCCGCCACAAAGCCTCGTACTGATCGCNCGCGCGCGCTGACGACGCGGCCGCCGCGCTGCGGGCGCATCGCCACTCGCTCAGTACGTTACACATGCACGTGAAATAAAAGCCTTACAACTGTTAACACCGATAACCATTGCACGCTTACGAAATACTTAGACTTATATCTCTTTTTGATGTGAAACAAATTATTTTTTCGTAGTATTTTATTTTATCATTATGACATTATTTAATTCCTATCACAATCTGTTCTTTTCTTCATATTACTTGTACAAAATAATGTCGATGGTTCACACCTGCCAGGCGTCCTGTGACGGCTCACATTTTTTTTTTAAATTTTCAATACATATATTGTCAAACAATTAAAACCGTTTAAAGATATTATAAACTATACTATAAACTTCGTGTAAACAATAATAATAAAACATAGAAAGCAATTAAGCCGCCCATGTAACTGTTGAATTGTAATTTAATGATTGAAATAGGCTAACGATGATGTATCTTTTTTTTATATAAAGTTTTCTCAGTACATATGTACTTGAATACATACTTGAATAGTTTGTTAGTTAAGTAATCGATTATAATAAAGAAAAACCGTGTCTTCCTCTCGGCGCTATAGCAGGAGTTGCAAATTTCTCCCTTAAATAGCTTGGGTCATGAGGGCATCATCTATTTTGACTTTGATGCATGACTTTTAATATCCTCCAAAGAAAAGTACTCAAGTATTTATTTTATTAATTGCTTAGATGAGTGTACAAGTTTACAGCCCAGCTGGTGTTAGGTGTTGAGACATGAGCTCTAAGTTCTCACAATTTTCACAGTAGTTTTTTTCAGGTAGACCTGACGTTTAAGAGTAATGTCATTGTAATGTTTGTTCAGATCGATTAACCCAACAACTGCGCGACCTGGAGTCCTGCTCCAGCGACTCGCTGGCCGTGTACGGCAACAGCATGGTGACGCTCCGGAAGGAGGTAGAGGAAGCTGTGAAAAGAGGAGAATTTAGTGCTCCTCCCAAGGGACCTATAGGTTAAAATTGATCTTGTATAATTAACCCATTTAATTAGAAGTTTGGTTTTTAAAATAAAACTTTAGTTTTCTTACTTCTGTCGCAAAGGAAAGAATCATGCGCTCCGGTTTTCAAGTTTTTTTATTTTATTTTTATTGCTTAGATGGATGGACGAGCTCACAGCCCACCTGGTGTTACGTGGTTACTGGAGCCCATAGACATCCACAACGTAAATGCGCCACCCACCTTGAGGTATAAGTTCTAAGGTCTCAAGTATAATTATAACGGCTGCCCCACCCTTCAAACCGAAATGCATTACTGCTTCACGGCAGAAATAGCCAGGGCGGTGGTACCTATCCGTGTGGACTCACAAAAGGTCCTACCACCAGTAAAATCGACCAGCAAGCTTGAGACAGTCATCTTATTATCCTACCATGGAGACTTAGACCTCATGTTTCAAGGCTGATGGTCTAGTCTCACTTTTAAGCTATCGTTTAATGAATAAAAAATTTGATTGACAGGTGATTATATAAAAGTAACCGAAAAACAGTGGGTCGGGACCCTGGAGCACATCCTCGGCGGCTCCATCACCACGTTCTGCGTCAACAGCGCTAGTGACTCCAGGAAACTTATCGACATCATGAACAAGGTGAGTGCCGTCACGCTTTACTGGTGGTAGGACCTTTTGTGAGTCCACACGGGTAAGTACCACCACCCTGCCTGTTTCTGCCGTGAAGCAGTAATGCATTTCGGTTTGAAGGGTGGGGCAGCCGTTATAATTATACTTGAGACCTTAGAACTTATACCTCAAGATGGGTGGCGCATTTACGTTGTGGATGTATATGGGCTCCAGTAACCACGTAACACCAGGTGGGCTGTGAGCTCGTCCATCCATCTAAGCAATAAAAAAAAGCTATGCGCCGCTTGCCGCAGGTGTACGGGCCCGCGCGCAAGCCGGCCGTCTCGTGCAGCGCGTTCCTGCGGCGGCGCCACGACGTGCGGGCGCGCGAGGTGCGCGGGGCGGGGGGCGGCGCGGCGGGGGGCGGCGCCCTGCGCTCGGCGCTGGGCTGGCTGCAGGTCGACGACCCTGAGGTCTACAACCACCTCGTGGACGCGCTGCGCCTGGAGACCGTGTTGCTTGTACCCGATCACCGTTAGTATTGTCAATCGACTTTTTTACTTTTTTTTATTAAATTCGAACTACCAGACTAAGAGCTCACCGCCCATTTGACATCCTAACTTGACCACCGCTGCTCACGTTGAATATGTATTAGATAATTAAATTAGCCAATATATACATATTAGAAATTTAAATTTAATATTTAGTAACAAAAGACATTATAACCGAACTATAGTTCGGCCGCTGTAAGGTTACTTTTCTGACAGATCGTCATCGCAGAAATCGGTGTATGTCGAAGAGATGTAGATGTGTTTGAAACATAAATGAAAAATCTTTTGTTTCTATATGATCCTAACGAATGTTTGTCATTGAGATATAAGTCATTTCGTTAAATTAAGACAAAATGCTTGTATCATTGTACTAAATGTCTTTTTGGAAATTTCGCATTCGGCGGCCGGACTATGGTTACTTTAATTATTAATATTCGCAGTAATGTTCGAGTTTCTTGAGCAGCATACGGGTACTTAATATGTAGCCTGACTGTCGCAAAATATCCCATCGACAATTTTGAAAATATTTGGTGTTCCGTCTGTCGAGCCCAGAGACAGCGGTGGAGCTGTGCTCGGAGGAGCACCGCGTGCCGCGCCACCTCAGCAAGGCCGTGAGCCGCGACTGCGCGGAGTACTACCCCGCCCCGCGCTACCGCTCCTACGGCGTGCGCGCCCGCCCCCCGCGCTACCTGCAGCACTCCTCGCGCGACCGCACCAGGTGCGCACCCACCACGGCCGCTACTGCCAGTCGCAGCACGAGGCTCGCCACTTCGATAAAGCGGCACGACATGAGAACCCTCATATCGTGGCCGCCGGTAACTACGTTCCCGATCCTGCGGACAGAATGGAAAGCAGCCGACGTCGCCCCAAACATGTCATCTCGGATCCTCCCGATCCACTAACGGTGCTTCTAGGTACCTCAAGCACCGGTCATTGTTCTCGTCGAACCCGTCGCTTGCGACGAAGGGCTCGACGAGTAAATTAACCCTTAGACACAGTCCACTGAGTTTCTCGCCGGATCTTCTCAGTGGGTCGCGTTTCCAATCTGGTGGTAGATTCTGCGAAGCACGGCTCTTGCTAGGGTTCATGTTAGCAACGTCATCAGATTTGAGCCCCGTGAGGCTCACCTACTAGTTAAGGCGACGCTGATATAGCCTCTCAAGGCTATCACCTTAGGTAGGAAAAAAAATGAGGCTCGTCAGTCACGTGGAACATTTAAATATTTAGGCAGCTAAAGTCGGAGATACAAGAAGCGCAAGTGAAGCTGCGAGAGCTGGAGGGCGGCGCCCGCGCGTGCGAGCAGGAGGCGGAGCGCGCCCGCCAGTACGAGCGCGCGCTCGCCGACACGCTGCACGCGCTCGCGCTCGACAAGATCGACAAAGAGGAGAAGGAGAAGATCGCCGTAGCTGAAATCGAGCAGTACCAGGAGCCGCGGCAAACTGTGCTGGTCAGTTCATCATTTGTTTCCCTACGCCTTAGCGCAGAGGACGGCAAAGTGCGGCTCTTTGAACTCTTGAGTGTGGCTCTGTCACAAATACCCTACGAGCTTGCCCGGCATCTAATATTATCCGGCTGTGGACGAAAAAGATTAATAGTATGTACGGACATTTAACAGCAACACCCCTGACTGATGTCGATTATCATATATATTAATCGAAGCACTATACAATATCGCATTTATTTTATGATTTGCAATAATAAATGTTTACTACATTTGGCTCTCAGTTTTTTGTAAGTCGTTTTAATTTGCATATTTGGCTCTTTGGCTAATAAGTTTGCCGACGACTGCCTTAGTACATCTGCTTTATTGTAAGGATGGGCGTACAAGCTAATGATCACGTATTAAGTGATTACCGGCGCCCATAGATGTCACCACCACCTATAGCCCGAGGTCGGAGTCTCTGTTGTATAGTGTAACGGCTGTGTCGCCCTTCAAACTGTAACAAAAGTAGTGTTAATAAGTTTGAATAATCGCGATTGTAGTAGTACTCGATAGATGACGTTACTAATGTTCGAAATGTTGCTCTGGCTATGTTACGTCCTTTACTATAAAATTGCATGTCTACGCGTCCTTATTTCTATCAGGAAAAGGTCGCATGTACAGTTAATCTCAAGTATGAGCTCTCTCCCCAGGAGGACGAATTGAAATTGTCCAAAGAAAAAGCCCAAAGCGTACAAGAACAGTTGAACGCGCAGTTAGCGGAAGAGCAGCGTTGGAGAGGCCAGCACCAGCAGCTCGACAACAAAGTGAGGGAGCTCCGGAACCGACTGTCGGACCTCACGTCCGCCTGCAGGGACCTCACGGTGAGTCGACCGCGTGTAAGGTCCGAATATTGGCGGCACGGCAAGACATGAGGACGAGGCAAATAAATACCATTCAAATACCATTAGAGTACAAATAGACTATATATTGTTTTATACAGGATGTCATTAACGAGCGGTATGCTAACTCCTTGTATTGCTTAAAAACAACTATTTAATTTTAATCATAAAACTAATATAATATTATTTATTAATGAACAAAAAAATGTTCAGCAAAATTTAAAATATCATTTGGAAGATCGCTATTTCAATTATTTTGTTTACATTCTTCTAAATAATGCGTCTACCGGAGAATAATGTATATGGCACAAAGTCTCCCATGTAAAACTTTTTGTTCTATGTAGGTACATAGTCTAAATTAATTAATTAGAATACTGATGTTAGGTTTATTAAGAAATTTCTTCCTTGGCATCTAATATCTCATCGTTATAACTTCTTCTTAACTCAGGAAGAAATAGATCGGGAGCAAATCAAACTAGAGAATATCGCATCTCAAATAACGGAATGTGAAGTTCGCGTGCAAAAATACCGCAAGGAGTTGTCTCGAACCAAAGCAGCCTTGGAAGAGAAAAAGGAAGTCGTCAGAACAAAAATTGAAGAAACGTCGAAGCTTTGTCCTCGTGTTCGCAACCCCAGGTACCAGCTCGCACCACACCGGTACCACACTCGCACCACATTCGCACCACATTCGCACCACACTATCACCACACTATAACAACACTATCACCACACTCGCACCCATTACTGTACTATACTATTTCATTATCTCACAAATAAAATTGTACATGTGTTATATTATAATAATATTTAAGTTAGCTTTTTGTATCGCTTTTTCCTTTCGTCCGATTTCAAAACATAATAATGCGAAATAAAATTTTAAATTATCGAGCGAGTATTGAAATCGACATAAAATTTCTTCGAAACTTTTATTCCTCCATCTTTTCATCATCAGACAAAAAGCATTGATAACGGACGAATTGAAAAATACAAAAGATAAGATGAACGCGATGCGATGCAACGGCATNCGTGTTCGCAACCCCAGGTACCAGCTCGCACCACACCGGTACCACACTCGCACCACATTCGCACCACATTCGCACCACACTATCACCACACTATAACAACACTATCACCACACTCGCACCCATTACTGTACTATACTATTTCATTATCTCACAAATAAAATTGTACATGTGTTATATTATAATAATATTTAAGTTAGCTTTTTGTATCGCTTTTTCCTTTCGTCCGATTTCAAAACATAATAATGCGAAATAAAATTTTAAATTATCGAGCGAGTATTGAAATCGACATAAAATTTCTTCGAAACTTTTATTCCTCCATCTTTTCATCATCAGACAAAAAGCATTGATAACGGACGAATTGAAAAATACAAAAGATAAGATGAACGCGATGCGATGCAACGGCATGACGAAGGTGCAGGTGGCCGAGAAACTGATCGTCGTTAAGAAGAAATATCATGAGATTAGCGCGGAACTGCAGCAGCTCGGAGCCGTCATTGAATCCGTGAGCATTGCTTTACTTTGTCAAATAATAATGATACAATAATTGCATTTATTTACTCCACAATACAAATACAAATAAATGTTCAATTAACATGACATAAAAATTCTAATTCTAAACAATATTACAATATATACATATTATTATACTAATACAGTGGAGATAAAAAGGCCGCGGCTCAGCTTTGTGATAGCTGAAACGATCGCTGTTATTCTGCCGCTGCCTGTAATCTTAATCTATACACTTAGATCTAATAAGACCAAAGACAGAATCCCTGCCTCCACACTTTGCTGTTTAAGTAGGAATTCCTTATAAAAGTATTTGAAAGGGCCTGGAAATGACCTAGTGCTATCACGAAGTCAGTCTAGTGTTCTAGGGTTAAAGAGTTTAACAGTGATTTAACCTTACACATTTATTTAATTATTTAATATTACACAGATCAAGGAGACCGCCAAGCAACATCTGCAGTTTAGCCACTTCGCGCAGACCTACATCATCAGGCAACTGTACTACATATTCCAGTCCATCCTGACGCTGAGAGGATACTGCGTGAGTTCCTGCTTGTTCCCTTATGACTACTAACAAATGAATATGTCATCTTTGTATTCAACTAACTTCGAATTTAATTTAAGATACCGTTCAGAAATATGAAATGTATTATTTAAAAGTCAGGGTAGTTACGTAAAGCATTGATACGAGATAACTGGCAGTATTACTGGTGGTAGGACCTCTTGTGAGTCCGCGCGGGTAGGTACCACCACCCTGCCTATTTCTGCCGTGAAGCAGTAATATGCGTTTCGGTTTGAAGGGCGGGGCAACCGTTGTAACTATATTTGGGACCTTAGAACTTATATCTCAAGGTGGGTGGCGCATTTACGTCGTAGATATCTATGGTCTCCAGTTACCACTTACCAGGTGGGCTGTGAGCTCGTCCAACCATTTAGCAAAAAAAAGACTAGCGATACATACCGGGGAGGTCGCCCTAAGTCCTAACTTTACTGGTGGTAAGACGCCCTGTACGAGTAGGTACCACCATCCTGCCTATTTCTTCCGTGAAGCAGTAATGCGTTTCGGTTTGAAAGGTGGGGCAGCCGTTGTAATTATACTGAGACCTTAGAACTCGTATCTCAAGTTGGGTGGCGGCATTTACGTTGTAGATGTCTGTGGGCTCCGGTAACCTTTTAACATCAGGTGGGCCGTAAGTTCGACCGTCCATCTAAGCAATAAATAAATAAGTCCGTCGCTATCGGCGTGGTGTGTCCAGGGGAACATCGAGGTGGACGCGGCGGCGGGGCGGCTGCGCCTGCAGTGCAGTGCGGGCGCGGCGCCGCACAGCGCGGGGCTGTCCGGCGGCGAGCAGTCCTACTCCACCGTGGCCTTCCTGCTCGCGCTCTGGGACTGCGCCGAGATGCCCTTCTACTTCATGGACGAGTTCGATGTCTTCATGGTCAGTTCTACTTCTCTTACTAAGCAACGCTCTAAACACGTCATTACGGATCCTCCCGATCCATTAACGGTGCTTTTAGGTACCTCAAGCACCGGTCACCGTCCGAACCCGTCGTTTGCGAAGAAGGGCTCGACGAGTAAATTAACCCATGAACACAGCCCACGAAATTTTTCGCCGGATCTTCTCAATGGGTTGCGTTTCCAATCGGGTGGTAGATTCTGCGAAGCACTGCTCTTGTTAGGGCCAGTGTTAGCAACACTTCCGGTTTGAGCCCCGTGAGCTTAACCTACACGTCAAGGAAAAGCTGAAATAGCCTCTCAAGACTATCAGCATAGGTGGGAGAAAAAAAACACCAGGCAGACAGGCTAACTCAGGATCCACCTAATATTTAGATGGTTTCGGATCTATTGACTCAACCAATACTCCCTTAGTCAATTTGAGAAATATGATTGGAACCTTAATGTGCATTGTTTCAACAAATGTGTGATTGCGTTATGGAATAAATATAATCCTGGCAGCATTCGATCATGAAGATATTTTTTCCAAAATATGTTTTATGAAGTACAGATTTTTTTTTATATGTAGGTATTTAGTAAACACTCGTAATATTGTTGAATCAAAATACAATTATATAAATTACATCCATGTTCTCCGAACTCATTCAATGCGCTTGACATTCTGTATTTAATTTTAATACAAACATTCATCTTGTTAAAGGACGACGTGAATCGTAAAATTATAATGCAGTTATTGATCAACCATGCACTTAAAAATTCTGGACGACAATTCGTCTTTCTCACGCCAAAGGACATCTCCTGCGTATCAGCCGGGCCACAGATCGACATCCACTTGTAAGTACTTCACTTCTACTAGATGTCAGGGGTTAAAATAAGCAGTTATAAAAGCATTTCATCAATAAATTGCCCTGTTGAGGTAGCGGTTTACTGCAGTACCAGTCTAGTTTCTATGCGCGGTCGGAATCTTATCTGTGAAAGTTATTTCACATTCGTGGTTTGGGTGTAATCCTAGCTTAGAATGTGGGGCGTTCAAAATAAAACGATTGTTGAATGAATTCAACAAATAAAATGTGTACCTCTACAAAAATACTATGCAATTATTCAATTCAGTATTCTGATGATTATAATTCATTTTCTCTTTTCCAGGCTGCCCAATCCCCGGTCCTAGTTATCATGAATAAAAATAAGAAAGTTGAAATATTTGTCTATAGTCATTTGTGTTCAAAAATTGTGTTGTAACTTCTATCATTATTCTTATTATCTAACGTACGTATGTACCTTTTTTTTTTTTAATAAATGCCTAAGTGAAGAAACTGTCTTTTCGCTAGTACTGTTAGCATAGAAGGTAAAATTTCTGTTATTTACAGAAACGAACAACGAAAATTCACATTTTCAAAACCATTTATTTAATACTATATCGCCGTGAAATCCAAAGTGTACATACATAAATGTGATCAATGCATTATTGCACTATAGATCCTAGTACTAACAACTATGGTTAATTCCACTTATGAGATCACATGCACATCAATCCGGAATACAATTGAAAAAAAAATAATTATTAATATTTTTTTACTTCCTTTTTTTTATATTACTTTCAATAAATTGATATAAAAATAACTTAAATCTAAAAAGCGATGTTCGTATCACTAATGATATATTTATATATTATTCAGATAAAACGTAACAAATCTAAGTCTTATTTATAAGGCGACAAGACACCTTAGTGGATAAGCGTAATCGTTCAACTTAACACTACAATGAAATTTACTTAGTTTTATACAATACCCGGTTCTACGACGCTGCTATAAGGTACACTTTATATTAACAATGGAAGAGAAAACTTCACTAAAAACGTCAAAATAAACGTCACTTGTAATGATACAGAAGATTTAAAATCATAAAATATTTAAAATGAACGCAATCAACCGACTACCGAATTATTCGTACTGATAATCCTCGCCTTTAAAAGAAAAATAAATATTTGTACAAACACCCATTTAATTTGGTTTCATAAAAAATTAAATTGTTATCGTATATGTTGAACCATACAGTTACCACATGTTATGGACGATGTTTAATGTATATTTACAGCTTAAACAGGTAAGTATAAATGAACAACTATTATCGGCACTGCGCGATAGTCGCGGTTCGCTAAAAAAAGGGAGCACAGACTGTAGTGCTAGTGCCAAGGCCAGCGCTTGAGTCCGTTTTGTGGGATTCACATTTTAACGAATACGAGTAGTACAATATTGTTTTGTGGTTACTATTTTAAGGAAACCTACATAAATGACAAGCTTTGAGATAAGTGCATTAATGTCATTGACGCCCGTTTCATACAGCCGAGATGCAGTAGTTTTTTTTTTTTTTAATTAATCTAATTTTTTTGCTGACGTGTCGACAAGCCCACTTTTGTAAACATAGATAAACTATTAACACAAAAACCTGGTGTTGGTATGCCGCAACTTATGCCAGTTTCTCGCCTTGGCCGACATGTATTGCAGCCTTTAACACATTTTATTTGAAACTTCAATCTCTACTACATTACTCAATGAACACAACGAGACAAGAGTTTTTTGTTTTGTTACTATACTTTTTGTTCTTAGATACTTGACATCATAAACAAATCATATCAGTAAGGAAAAAATACTCACACATATTAGTTCAATTAGTAAGTTAGGAAGCTGACACACGACACTGTTAGAAGTATTAATAAAATTCGTTAGTTGTTCGTTCTCTGTGAAAATTAAGTTTGAGTAAGGCCAGAAAAAAGAATTTCATGCAAATAAGATGAATTCTTCAGAATCGCTCCTGGCGGAGTAGCCATGGTCATGTTTCTGGCATGCTGCTATTGACTTTTGTGTTATTTCTCCATATCAATCTATTCACGGGTGTGTATATTCAGTCAATATTTCGTAGCCGATTATGACACGGATATAAAACTTTGATTTGCGTATTTGTTGACTAACAGAACGTCAGGTATGTCAAGCATATCTAAGTTTTACATCGTCGTATTTACACTCGGTCCAACAAATGCATTTCTGCATGTACAATCTACTGCTTACCGGTTGATATCGTATACCTTAGTATTTCCCATATTAGTACACTATAAAAAAAACTCTTGTCCCTTTATGTTATAGATATAATTAAATTTTTATTATTCAGTATCCGGTCATCTTAGTTTTTTTAGTATTTTTTTAGTTGCCATCGAAAATTTGTAACAAAGTGTAGAAAGCAAATCACTTTGTGTTCAAACTAAGTTGTAATTTCTCAACCGTATTCGATAATTTTCGTCGAAATTTAGCTAACGTGTTTTTCTATTACTTAACTACAACTTTAACATATTTTTTTTATCCTTTCGCATTGTTTACTAATTTTTTTATCAGTCTCACGAACAAATGTTCATTTATCATTGCCATTAGAAATAAGTTAGAATTTTATTATTTATATTTACATTAAATTTATATAAAATAAAATAATTAAACAAAAAAAGTTATACAACAGTTCTTATTAGTGCTAGTAGCCAATAATGGCCATTTTTATTTACTTCTCTCAAAGAAATTGATTAGAGTATAAATTTGATTGAAAAAATCTGGATGTGGTAACTATAGACTTTATAATGATTATGATGATGGATCTTATACTATTTAAAGTAGTGTTAAAATGTTGATTCAAAATGATTCTGTTCTGAATGCATTCTATATTTACAATAAATGAAAAACTACACAAACCTCTTACATCTGATGTATTAAAACTAAAAATTAAATACATATTAACAACAACGGTGGAAAATGTAATTCTTAATGATTATTAGGAATTATTTATAGCAAAATTTGCTCTAAAAAAGTTATTATATTTATAAGTAGTATGTACATCTGTGAGAATTTAAACACATTAGCTGTATTTATTGTTATTATAAAGTTATTTTATTGTTTGTTGTAACTTTGACTTTCGGTGGCAGATAAGGGATACATATGATATAAAAGTATAGTTGTTTAACATTTTACACAGCGAATGTGTTAATCTAAAATCATTTTAATAATAATAGGCTTGCTAAAAACAGATCCTATAGTCTCGCAGTGAATGCACAATGAACATACGTTTGGAATGTTTAACAACGTAACATGGCACTCCTGCCAAAAATTTTATTCTACATTAGGAACATAAATCTGTCCAGTTTAGTTTTAGTGACAAGAAAAAAAAGTGATTTTTCGGGAAAAAGTAATTCGAGGTTATAATCTTACTTAAAAATGCTTCTAGTATAACTTAAATGCGTCACAAGTTAGCAAAAAGTAGCTGTGCTGAACAAAAATAACTTTTACTAAAAAAGTACTTTTATTTACGCCATCAAAATAACTGAATTATGATATTTGAGAAAAACTATGTCAAATGTGCCTATAAGTTCTTAAGTATGTAACTTTATTAGTAACACATTGCATTGTCACATGTATTTAATGAAACTGGCTGTTTTTGACTGGTAATAAAATAAGTATACTTGGGTAAATAAATATTAGTACCAAATACCAAATATACTTGGGTAAATAAATATTAGTCGAGCATGTGGATGAGTCAAGTTTGCTTGATAAATTTAATTGATACAAGTTTGTATCTGAATATCTTGAATTGTGTTTTACTTTTAATAGTTAGATTTGTGTTTTAAGTCCTAAAAACCCAATTATAGTTTAGCTATTTTGGTTTTTTAGTACCCGCAAAATGAAAACAAAATATAAGCAAGTAACCATGGACGTCTAAATCGACCGTGTACTGGTATGAGGAAATCCCATAACAGTCGATATCCTTGTCGAAAACCTATTAGTAAAGGACCACACTTCATACATTAAGTTAGTCATTTAATATGTCAGACAGCAGTTTCACGTCATAACGTTAGAATATATTAGTCTAACACTTCGACAGGCTATCTCTGTTTTTGTTATATTTAGAGACACCATAACAGACCACGGAAGATAATGAACACATTTCAGAAATGTTATTTCCTTTGCTGAGGCAACAGTAACTCTTTGTGCTAACTGAAAGCTATTGAAACAATAAATCTAATGGTTTATTATTTTAAAATATTTTTTGAGACAAAAAAGAATAAGTTGGACAATATGATGATTGTTCAATTTACATATTATAATTATACGAAACTGAAGCATCACAAGGACATCCGTTTTCATAAATCCAGTTGGAAAAGTCAATAATGCTACTGTAAACTGAAAAGTTATTTATAGTTTTACTATTACCTTCAGTTCTTTAGTTTTATGTTCTAAGAGAATATAATATTTATAAGGTTCCACAAAGAATATCTTTGTTAAGGCAGATATCATTGCAAGATTTGTCAATAGACATCTGTCTGATCTTGCCATGAAGTGTCAAGACAATTCTGAACTTGTCAGTTGTTCATTGATAAAATGCATGTATTGGTAGGTGCCAATACAATGCTTATAGTTCAATTGTAGTTTCTTTAGACTACCTTCAGCACAGGTTTATTTTTAAAATAATAATTGTATAATAGGATACTCATGTTCTTTAAACTAGAAGACATTCTTCTGACAATCAATAAGAACTCGGAATATCTAAAGACTTAACTACACAGAGCAGTGTACATACAGATGTATCAGTCAGCATGTATCCTTAGTTCGTGTTCATGCCTGTTCGACGGAGTCTTTGTAGTGGGAGTCTTGGGGCTTTTGTGGTCGGAGTGCGGAGGGGTCGGCGGGTATATGTGGTCCGTGTCTACCGATGTTGATGGGCAGACTTCATGTTGTGATGAATGCTCTAATATGGCTTGGTAAACTTTATCCTGTATAAAATAGAAATAAAAATCTTGTCTTATTTGCAATATGTGTTTTAGACGTTGATTAGATAATTGATGTGAGATACAATATATTATTTCCTAAGTATGGTATTAGGAAAACTATACAATTGTGTCTCAGGCTTCATGGCGCAAGATATGCGGCCGGATTAATCTTGTGATTGTGGGCTCCGGTAACCACTTAAAATGGGGGAGGACAGAATTAGAGCGAGATTTATAAGGAAAGGAATTTTCGAAGGAGAAGTAAATAAGCCAGGTGAGAGGTAGAATTACGGTACTCCTTCAATAAATTTTTTGTATCCTCAACATGCTCAAATCTCTGTCTCAATGTTTATTAAGATATAGCACCGTCCATGCTAGTTTGCTTATTCCTTTCCCTGCAAGGTTACCTGGAAGAGATCGCTTTCAGCGATAAGGCCGCCAATTTATGTCACCGTCTATTTGTTTTATATGCTTACTCTGTACATGTGGTGTCAAATAAAGAGTAATATTATTATGTGTATTAAACACTGCCTCGCCTAGGAAGACGGCAGGACACACTCCGGCGAGGTTGGCAACAATCGGCCAGAGCGTTAGGGACTATTGGGAGAGAAACCGGCGAACTATACGGGCATTGTCGAGCAAGACTGCTTTTTGCATTTGGGCCACCACCGACTTTTGTTGAGACATATATTATTATAATTATTATGTAATTTGTAAGTAGTACTCACAAACATGTCGAGCGTGACGTTGTGCTGCTGGATGCGGTGGCTCTCGTCGGGGTTGATGTCGGGACAGATGTGTCGCAGCGCGGCGGCGGGCTGCACGAACTCCCCGTCGGCGGCGCGCACCTGCCCGCCCGCGCCCGCCTCGCGCAGCGACCGCGCGAACGGCTCCAGCCACGTGTAGCACTCCGACAGGGACTCCCACTTGTAACCTGGAAATATTTCCTCCTTATAAACCCACTAAGACTTTTTGGCGGGAATGCGAGGAGTGAAGTTGTGTGATTTGTTTTATTTTGTCTATTTAGTGTTTCTTCATGTTTAAATGTGTAATAACGGTAGTTTATTAACTGTTTAATATCTGTGAAAATGTCCAAACGTGGGAAAATATATAAAAAAACTCCTGGACGTAACTTCTCGGGATCCTCCAAAAAGTCCACTGAAAAAATTTCAGTAAATGACCACAATTTTACTGAGATTATATGTCATCTCATATCATCTCATTTAATTTCATCCCAGTTGATTAATGTCTCAAATTAACCATCTTCATTTCATTTCACTCCATAATATAATTTTTCATAAAAATAAGAATATAAATTAAAATAAGACCTGACCTAAAGGTCTTAATTACCAGGTCATAAAATTAAAAAGAACCCACTAATAACAGCTACACCAGTGGTAGGACCTCTTGTGAGTCCGCTCGGGTAGGTACCACCACCCTGCCTATTTCTGCCGTGAAGCAGTAATGCGTTTCGGTTTGAAGGTTGGGGCAGCTGTTGTAACTATACTGAGACTTTAGAACTTATATCTCAAGGTGGGTGGCGCAGTTATATTGTAGATGTCTATAGGCTCCAGTAACCACTTAACATACAGGTGGGCTGTGAGCTCATCCACCCTTCTAAGCAAAAAAAACCTCACGACTACATATAACAATCGCAGCCTATCAGCAGCTTGATAAATTAGTAAATTAAACCTTTAGTGAGCAAAGCTTCAATGAAATGTTCATAATTCTACTAACCTGAGACCCTCATCGCCAGCTCCCTGTTGTACGTATGCGCTATAGCCGCCGCCGCGACAGCACTGTATGAGAACAAATTAACGTCCACATGTAAAACAGCCAAGTCCACTAATTGTCCACATATCACAAACTCTAATGACGAGTACTGAGGGAACACGAATGTGTACCCTCTTAAAGCGTTCGCGGCCACATCACTCTCGCCTAGCAGCCTTCTCTTGGCAGATTTCCCTTCGCTGGCTAGCTGCATGTATACGTTCAGCCAGCTGTTGATGGTTATTGGTGTGATGCTCCACGAGAGAATCTTGAGGATTAGAAGTTCTTCCAGAAGTATTTCCTCGGTCGTGCAGGCTCCGTCGGTGACGTAAGCAAACTCTGCTATTTTCGGCGGATATACCTCTTCCACTTTAGCCGCTATGAATAAACACGTTATACCTGGAAATTTTTGAAACATACGTTTTGTAATTTGATTCTGATGTAGGCCAATGATTACTTTTTATTACACACGATGGGTGAACGAATTAATGTATAGGATGGTGATTTTTATACATTATGTTGAAGTTAGTGCTTAATAACAATGTGGTCGATGAATTATCGATGGTTATAAGCAATTCAAAATTTTTATATAAATCGTTAATCCAATCCCAAATCCTGTAACAAAATAAAACTCATAATTATATAAACTTGCCTATAAGTTGCAGTCTCCCTTTCTGTACGTCTTCTGTATTCGATAAGTATCTGTCTACGTAGTCCACTGTCAGATGAAACGTTTCTCTGTGTAATTTGTATACCTCGCAGACCTACCGAAGAGAAATGACCTTATGAATAATCAAATCATTTCCAAATTGGAATGGTCGCAGGAGCACGGAAAACGGAGGCCATTCTTATTAATCTAATCTTTCCGATAAGTTGTTATTCCTCGGAAGTAAATAAATTCCTCGGAATAATTAAATATGAATAAATAATTAAATATCAAGAAAGTGAATTATTTACAGGACAGATAAAAAATGTAAGAGTTAGGTATGGAAAACAACACTCTTCATATTTTTAATCTAGGTAAGAAAGTCATACTCTCAGTCAGACAATACTAGGCGTGTTGAAATGTCGGACTTTTCTCTTTAGGCTAAATTTTTTATCACTTACGAGGGCTGCACTAAGAGTATCGGGAATGGAATATTTCCACTGTTCCTGTCATATTAAAATCTTTTTAATTGAAAACTTCTTGGTTTTAAAAATCGAATACCATTTATTTATTTAAAAAAAGATTCTCGGTCTTGTCACGAGGTTTTGTCAAACTTGTTTAGTCGTTGAGAAAATGGAATTGACTCGAGAAAATTCAAGAGCGATGATTTATTATGACTTTCGAAGTGGTTTAACACAAAAACAGTGTGTTGACCGGATGATTTCTGCATTTGGTGATGAAGCCCCATCCAAAACCACAATTTATCGCTGGTTTGCTGAGTTTCAACGTGGACGTGTCAAGCTCAGTGATGATCCCCGTCAAGGTCGTCCAAAAACTGCAGTCACCCAAGAAAACGTTGATGCTGTGCGTAAGCTGATTGAGGAAGATCGACATGTGACATACCGCGAAATTCAGGCAACTTTAGACATTGGCATGAGTCAAATACAAATAATCTTGCATGAACAATTAGGTGTAAAAAAGTTGTTTTCCCGATGGATACCGCATTCGCTCTGTGAAGAGCAAAAAGCGGCTCGCGTTACTTGGTGCGTCAGAACTCTCGAAAGATTCCACGCAGGATCCTCAAATGCTGTATACAACATTGTATCAGGTGACGAATCCTGGATATACGCGTACGAACCCGAAACAAAAAACCAGTCACGAGTTTGGGTGTTCGAAAATGAGTTAAAGCCAACAAAAATTGTTCGTTCACGGAGTGTTGCAAAAAAAAATAGTGGCCACGTTTGTCTCCAAAACCGGCCATGTTACGACTATTCCTCTTGAGGGACAAAGAACGGTTAATGCAGAATGGTATGCTAGCATTTGTTTGCCACAGGTCGTTTCTGAACTCCGTAAAGAGAACTGCAACCGCCGCATCATCCTCCATCACGACAATGCGAGTTCTCACACCGCGCACAGAACAAATTTTTAGAGCAAAACATAGAATTATTAGACCATCCGCCGTACAGCCCCGACCTAAGCTCTAATGATTTCTATACTTTCCCTAAAATAAAGAATAAATTGCGTGGACAGAGATTTTCATCACCTGAAGAAGCTGTGGACGCCTACAGAACGGCCATTTTGGAGACCCCAACTTCCGAATGGAATGGTTGCTTCAATGATTGGTTCCATCGTATGGAAAAATGTGTCAAATTTTGCAGAGAATACTTCGAAAAGCAATAAATACATTTTTAAATAGTAATGTTGTGTCACTTCGTTAATTCCCGAAATTTTCAGTGCCGCCTGGTACAGAGCGGAAGTTCGTTGAAAACATAATATTTTTTATATAATAAAGGTTGAAAGGAGGTTTACAGGAAGGTCCACGGGTTAAACTATTGTCGGCATTGAGGAACAAAGCCTCCCTTCCTAAAACGTGCAAAAATACAAAGCTGTGACGATCTATTCATACTAGTAGTATATACTAAGAAATAATCAGATTATTCACCTATAAAGAAAGAAAATTCATACGGAACCGGATTTTTGCGTTTCTAACTTAAGGTTTATTACTCGTAACTAAAATAATTTTAGAAAGACACCTATAAAATTGTCGTAAATGTGAAGATTGATTTATTTGACTTATAATAATTTATGTATAATTTCATGTAACTTTCTTACGGAATAATGAGTTTCACTCAGGAAGATATTCCGAAAATATCGATCAATTTGGTACATCATTGTTTTAACTTGTTTTCCTACAAAAAAGGTTCATAGCAATATCCTTGTCAAGAGCGTGTCGCACAACACAACTTAAAAATTCCATAGTCATAAGAAAAGTTAATAATTAACTTACAAATAATATACAAAAAAAACATTCGCCGAACTTAAGAAATTAGCACGTACCTGAAAAAAATATGTTTTTCCTTCTTTTGAGTCATATAATACTAATTTTGTTTCCTACTTTTTTTCGAAGCGGGATACCTCAGAAATAATGATGAAAAATTTGAAATAAAAATTATTTAGAAACTTCAATTGGATTTGTTTAGAATTATCTAAGTCAACATTTTTCTCTCGCTTTTCTCTTCCCATTATAAGTAAGAAGTGCCAGGATTTTACAGAAATTTTTTTGGCCTTTAAATTTCCACATTCTTTTGCGATTAATAGCAACGTGCCCAAATCTCATAGTAAAATGTTGTGAAAAAGTTACGATCTAATAAAGAGTTTCAATTTTGGCCTTTTAACTATGGAACCCTAAAAAGTTCGCCCACGCAACTTTAATAGGATTACTTAATGTGTTGTAGACGCATAGGACGAAGAGTTTTCGGACGAAGGACGATAAACAATTATCGTTGTCCCCATTCTTTACAGCTAAGATGAGATCACACTATGAGTACGTTGCAACTAACAGATCTAGTATTGATGTCTAAAAGGCAATTTTATATTATAACATTTATCAGTGATACTACTTTTGCGGTAGAAAGTGCGGATTATGTGAAAAACGTCCTGATACAAGAGAAAGGCTCATCACTCGTCACGTAACACTGCTATTTAGCGAGTAAACTCTTGATATCCCTTTGCTTGAACTACATAAAATTAGAAAAAGGTTTTTGGGTCAAAGATGTTGTAATAATATTAATTAATTTAATCATATTTGTTTTTATTGATGTTAAATCTTAACGCTTAAACTTACTACAGAGGTCAGGGAATTTTAATGATAATTATATTCTTGGATTATTAATCAGAAGACACGAGTACCTGACCCCTCGCCGCAGCCGCACAGGGGGCGCGCGTTTATGTGGGTTTCTAATTAAGTGACCATCTAAGGTTTTTTTTTCGGGAGAGGTAAGCAGAGCGATCATGGTGTGACCTGTGGTGCGACTGCTTCAAAAGCCCGCCACTGACGAAATTGGCAAAAACGACTCTAGGACCCTTAGACACGAAAATGATATACCGCCAACTGGGCGCCTATGATTTCTTTCCTACCTATGCTGATAGCCTTGAGAGGCTATTTCAGCTTCACACTAACGTGTGTAGGTGAGCTCACGGGGCTCAAACCGGAGTGTTGCTAACACCGACTCTAGAGCAGTGCTTCGCAGAATCTACCACCGGATCGGAAACGCAACCCACTGAGAAGATCCGGCCAGAAACTCAGTGGGCTGTGTCTACGGGTTAATTCGCTCGCCGAGCCCTTCGTCGCAAGCGACTGGTTCGACGAGGATGGTGACCGGTGCTTGTGGTGCCTAAAGCACCGTTAATGGATCGGGAGGATCCATAATGACGTGCTTTGGGCGACGTCGACTGTTTACCATTCGGTCCGTAGGATCGGGAATGTTTTTTTTGTTGCTTTGTTGGGTGTACGAGCTTACGGCTCGCCTGGCTCGAGTGGTTACCGGAGCCCATAAACGTCTACAACTGAAATGCCGCCATCCACCTTGAATTATGACCGAGCACGTGAAGAATCGTCGTCAAACAATATATAACAGGTTTTTTTTTAAACTTTTCTCTTCATTTCTTTAGGCAAGTTGTCAATGGCGATTATGCTTATTTTAAACGAATTAACCCTCTGATGTAATTACAAATATATATATTCTCACATCAGAGATAAAATTAAAAGATCTATACTCATAGCATATATGAAGGGTCTTTAAGAAACGTAACGATTTTACTGCGATAATTGTTTTTATTATCAATACGTTATTATGGGCGTAGGTTTATCACCGTTTTTAGGCCAAGTTCGTTATTGTGACCCTTTGTTCAGATTCAAGTTTATAATAAAATTATGTAAAAAACGCGAGAAAAGATAAACGTTTGACTTTCAATATTGGACTTGATCCCAGTCTGGAATTTGCTCCCAAAACTAAAGTGTGAGTACTATTTTACTTCACTAAGCCGAATTAAATACAAACATATTTGTGATCTAATTGTTGCCTTGTGGTGTCGACATAGTGCTTTTATCGTAGTGATGCGACTAAGGTTTCAATTGTCAGACCGATATTATTACTAAGTAAACTTAAAAGAAAAAAATTAATTTTAAGATTAGGTGTTCAACAGTTATTTCCACCGTGATTATAACGTGTATTACAAAATATAACATTTCACTTTTAATATTTATTACTGCAGTAGGTGTATTATAATATTAGGGTATATTGCGAGCTTGCAAGGGTAGGTAACCAATACAGGGAGCTAGAAAGAAGCAGATTTGTGGTCCGGTTTAAAGCCTAATGGCTGTTTTACCTTTCAAAAGGTTACCGCTCAAAAGACAAATATCATATCTCAAAATGGTTGGAATTATTAAAAATAACGAGTATTTACGTACGCTCTTTAATAATTAAATTTATTTTCCATTTAATAAGGATCCGTTTGCATGTTTTACATCTATGTATTAAATTACTATAGGTCATAATTGATTATTAAGCAAGGCATTTTTATGCCAATTCTCGTGAACGAGTGAGTTTTTGCAACGCAGGCGTTAAATTTAATTCATAATATTATTATAATCTTAATGGAAAACTATCTAGTACCGAAATGCTATTTTACGGTCTTATTATGAGGAATGGATACATCAAAATTAATTAATATGGAATAACACAATACAGAATAGAACTTAAGCCTACTGGCCACGTTTAAAATCTGTAAAAGCAGAGGCGAATTTTTTATTCGCGTATCGTAAAATAAAAATAGATC